CTACTGCTTTCTTAATAGTATCATTAATAACACTGCTTTCTCTTATTGGTTAAGACTTCCATATTCCCGAAGCACAAGTGCGTCCATATGCATATAGTCTGTTTGTGTATGTGTAAGAAAGCTTAACAGCCCTGCGTGCTGTTTCTCATAGTACGTGCTGTGCAGGTACAACACTTAAAATGTGGTTGATCTACTTACTTGTAGCTAGCAACTTGCCTGGAATTTCCAGATGTCCAGTGAGAGAAGAAAGAAGGCACCTACCTAGGGTGCTCCACTGTGATACTGCTAATTGCCACCACTTGGAAAGATATGTCACTAGCATTTGCACTTGTAAGCCTACTATTTAAGAGACTGGTCTTTATCCCTCCTTGGAAAGAGGAAGAAAACATTCTTGAGAATTGTCTGAGGCATTTAGAACTGCCTAATGATAATAAGCAACATGGTTAAGGACCGGTTTATCCTGTGTATAAGGGTAAAAGTTGGTATTTACTGCCCTTTATCTTATGTATTCACTGAAAATCAATGGTATGTTCTTTTAAATGACTCACACAACTTCATGGTTTCACTGAACTATTTTATTATGCAAGTGAACTTAAGGGTTATTACATTACATGCTTTAGGGTGCAAAATATTCACGATGGCTTGGTGTGTGTGAGAGCTGTGGAGTTTTTTTCTATTCTGCCTTCCCTTTCCCCTTCAGTGTAGGATGTTTTTCAGTGGAGCTGCAATATTAGGAGAGGGATGGTTAAATTCAAAAATACCATACTGCCTGCAACCAGAGACAGATTCTGAACCAACGAGCTCAGGAGTCAGACATTAGGAAAAAAATGTGCATGCGTGGTGTCCAACACACCTGGAAATTGGGTGTTTGTGAGAGGAAGGGATTGAAGAGGCAATGTCATCTTGGGTTCCTATCTAGGTCTTGGATCTTCCACAAAGATGTTGCCACTCGGCTGGTTGGCAGTGTGTTGCCTCCTTAAGAGACAGTGTTTTTCGAATTTTTTTTCAAATGGCACTTTAATTTTCCAAGTTAGATACTCTAGTAATGTGCATGGACTCTGAAAGACTGCCCTGTCCCATAGATTGGTCTACTGACTTAGTATTAGAAGAGATGTTGTCTTAGCAACAACAAAAAAAGTAAGAACAAATGCATGACTTAAAGGCATTCCTAAAGCACAGAAGATTCTGTTCTAACTACTGTAACTTCTGATACAAGAACTTTCCTTAGTATTATGATCATTTAAAATACATTTTGTAGTTCCCTCTAGTTCTTTCATCTTACTTCTGTTCTCTTGTTCCAGTTGGTAGTGTAGCTAACATGTTACAGTCTATCCCAAACAGTCCGAAGTCATGGAACTGGTGTTCAGTCTTTAGTGTTCTAAATTTTGCGGCTTCTGTTGAGTCTTACTATTTATGGAGAGTTTTTCATTTTAATGCAGGTGACATTGCCTCTTCAACAGCATGCTTTTTCCCCTCTGGATCCAATTTGTTACCAATTTTATGCATCGTAACACAGAGGAAGAGGAAAAACTGATGTTCTGTAGTGTTTTTGTATACACAAGCAAACATTTTAAGGCCCCATTTGTCATTTTAATTATGTTAGTCTTGGACATAAAAGGTTAATCATAAAATCATAGAATGGTTAAAGTTGGAAGGGACCTTAAAGATCATCCAGTTTCATCTTCCAGAATTATAAAGTGTTATGACACTGGCCTATCGAGAAGAAAGTTACCTCTTACTGTCTAAGATTTTTAGCATACTATGTGCTTAAATGCACATAGTTTTTAATATAAACCCTTATTTCATGTGTAACAACTGTGTGCTCTTCTCCCCCCTCCACACTTATGCTTTTAAAAAATTAGAAACTGTTTTTATTTTGGTTATGGCTTCAACTTTGTCCTGGGTTACTGCCAGGATTTGGTAGGGATCTTAACAAATGATCTGCCTTGCCTACTCAGGTTAAGCAGGACTTCACTTGTGAAAGTTGTCTTAACTGTGTCTTGCTCGTTTTGTTGCTCATGGAAATTAGGTTGAGTTGTTCCCTGCTTTCCTCCCCAACCATACCTTGAACTGGTTAGCACCTTGGGTGTTGACTTAATGGTCTTGGAGCCATGGGAAGTTTCATGTGGTCTGAGCCGAATGAATTCCAAACTGATCATCTCTCAGTGTAACAGGCGTCACAGTTTCTTCAGACTGTCTAAACCAGGGTTTCGAGTGGGTTAGGCTCTGTTTGCCTGCTTTACTACCAGCTTCTGTGCCTAAAAGGTTGTGTGGAGTGGTTGTAGTTCATCCATTCAGAAACCCTGTTAAAGCCATTATGTTCTTCTTGAAATTAAGGCTAAGGTTTGGAGATGAGAAGCAAGAGGACTTAATATGGCAGGAAGGAGACTCAAAGGATTTTCCCAGGCAGTCATCAACTCATCGAAGGGATAGATACTTGAGGCCTTGTCTCTTCTTGCTCTGCCTGTCATGTGGCTAACAGTTTGTCTGAGAGCATACCATGGAATTCTTCTTTGTCCTGCTGGTTATGCAGTCCTTTAAGAACAGAGAAGTTAATCTTTACCACATATCCCAAGTGTCCTTGAAAGCTTTTTGGATAACCAAGTAGTCATGTTCCTGCATGCTTCTGGCTTTACATGATTGAAGTGGAAAAGCAGATTACTACAATTTTGGGTCTTAATACTAAAATAATTCTTAAAATATGTAGCAGCAAAATGGCTTTAGCACTAAATAGCTCACTGTGTAGCTAATCCTTCAGGAAGGGGTGTGTGTATCCAGATGAGTCTTTTAGTGTTCTGGTAATGCAAGATATTTTCCTAGACTAGGGAGGTTAATTTTTTTTACTAGCAGATAACTACAAAGGAGAGATAGAGGAAAAGACACATAGTAGTACTGCCTGGAATTCTGTGCTCAGCCAGCATCTTGCAGGTTTTCTGGTAAGTAGGAAGCATACACTTTTAAGTTTTTCAGCTTGTAAAGTGATACTTATTTTACATCCACTGTGGTGTTTCATCCAGAAGCACAAATAACTTGCACAGTACAAGACTGAAGATTACAAGCATATGTTGTCTTGAAGTGGGTAGAAAGGGATTAGAATATGATTAGGGATTTATTGTTGAGAGGGATTAAGCAACAGGTGTTTTTTAAGGTCACATCTTTGAATTGCAGCCTTGCTGTTCCAGAGAATTTGATATCTGAACTTCCTCTCCTTTCCTACACTGGAAACACTGCTTGGGAACCCCTTGGTTCTTAACGCACAGGAAGAAAACCTTAAACGTAATTTCATGTTCCATTATGGATCACAAATGCTACAGTTCGGTTTTCCAAGAACTCCCTTTCCCATCTTGCTTGTTCTTTGATAGTGCATTTAGAGATTTATTTTTTTTAATTTCTAATTTAAGGGACACTGCTCTAAAAATATAGCTTGAAAGAGAAAGGGCACTAAGTCATCTTTTCTGGTTCAGTTCTGGGGTTCCATGACTTGGAAACTGCCTTCAGTCATCTTTCTGTAAGAGGGTCCTCTGTCATCTGAGAGAGAACAGGAGGAGGAAACAACTCTATAAAGGCTAGAAGATACTTGATGCCTTCATAAAATCATTTAGTTTGGAAGAGATGTCTAAGATCATCAAGTTCAACCATTAACCTAACATTGCCAGGTCTACCACTAAACTGAGGAAGGTTAGTTAGACATATAGCGTCTTGCTGAAAAAGGAGTGCGAAATTTTCTGATGTGTTTGACTAAAACTAGTTTAGGCAACTTGTTTTATTCACAGTTCTGTATTAAATGTGACATTCTTTCACCTGACATTTATCCTAGAGTTTAAATATGCATAATTAAGTGGCTGGGAACTGCTGAAGGTCAAAGCTTTGTAGTGTGAGTGATTCTATTCCTCTCCTGCCTCTTACCTCTCATTTCTTCAGATGTAGCAGCCTCTCCCGGTCTCCTAGCTCTGGCTTTCTGTAAGGTGACGTTTACAAAATGTTGGGAAATTGAAATGAAATGTCATCTACCTGTAGCTTACCTGTTGTCCGGCCTTGTGTTTACATGTCCACTTTTTCTTCTTTCCTTTAAAATACTAAGCTACGAATCCAATTGTTAGTAGAACTATACTACACAATCATCCAAGTTTGTTTTTTTTTTTTTAGTTTGTTTTGCAGGGGGGGTTTTGTTTGTAGTATAATATTGCAATCAATATAGCCTACTGTAGTCAGAACAGTTGGAGATAATCCTTTCCCGATTTGCCGTTTTACTGGTCCTTATGCTATTCCCTGCAAGCTTAGTTGCTGCTTTTGCCTCCTGATTAACTGCTAATAGACTTTTTCTAGTCATTAAACACTCTTGCCTTCTGCATTCAGTAGTAGCCTCTGCCTTGCAGTCTACTGCTGTTGCAGTAAATCTGGTTATGTTGTTCTTCACTGACAGCAAGAGCTTAGTGAACTCTTGCCCTTTAGTATCATTTAGTACCTGTTACTGCTGGGTTTATGTGCTGAGTAGATTTTTATGAGGGAAAGAATGAATGGTTATCAGGTTAATGCTGATTGCTTTGTAAGAATAATCTGCAGCCTTTTACCTTTAAAACCTCAGATTAATTCCACTTCTAATATAAATGGAAGTTAAATTATAAGTCTTAAATTTAATTTAGTCATTAGGGCCTTTCGTAATCCAAGGGATGGCCTGGAGGCAGCTATACTATGCACTCAGAGTAGCTCTTAGTCCAAGAGGGTTTAGGCCTGGAAAGGGTCAAGTCTAAAATGCCCTCTTGTTTAACCAGAAGATCAGTCCAATCCTGTATTGAGTAGAAAAACCTGCAGAGCAATCTGGATAAGATGGCAAAATGAGCGCCCCAATTAAGTTTGCTGGTGTGATAACATAATTCTAATTGAGGCTTAAGTGTGTATATTATAGATGTGAGGGTAATGCATCTAAGCATGGAGACTATTGTACACAAAGTACTCTGTTAACACCTAGAAATAACAATGCTTTTTGTTTTTCTCCTTAGATCAATGTTCGAGTTGTTACTATGGATGCAGAGCTGGAGTTTGCCATTCAGCCAAACACTACAGGCAAACAGCTGTTTGACCAGGTCAGTGAAGTTTTGGTGTGGGCTTTTACTGTTTAAGTTTGGAGTACGTTTCAGACTATAGTGTTTACTGAAGACTGGATTCCAAATCTATTTTCACTCTACCTCCTAATCAAAGGCCCTCAGTCTGAACTGAGATCTCTAAACTCCATCACAGTAAAAGAAAAAAGCAAAAACCCTCGGAGGTATGTTATACTCCAGTGAAAACTGTCTTCCATGTTGGGTGATGAAATGTCACAAGGGATCTAAAATGTTTGGACAATATAGGTAGCATGTAAAAATGCACTTCTTGCTTTGAAATACAGCTTAGTTCTTACACTGTTCTTCAATTCTAAGGTTGAAATGTTGCCTTTGTGTGTGGAAGTCTTTAGAATCAGATCTTCAGATGGCTGAAGAAGGTGTTGGCATGGCTACATTAATTCAGAAGGTGGGTTGGAGGTAGCCACTTGCCACAGGTGTTTGAGTTTGTCACACTGCTGAAAAAACAGAAGAGTTTGTGACCTCCATGCAGCGTTTGTAGGCAACATGCCTTATAAGAAGCCCCTGTGCAGCAGGACAGAGCACAGATTTGCACAGTCTACCTTCAGGAATTCCCTGGAGAGTGGAGGGCATGAGTGGCCAAGAGTCTCCTCCCCTTGCTGTTATTCTTCCTGCTACTGCATTAACAAGTTTAAAGATGGACCTACAAAGATCAGATAAAGGCAACAATGTGCACTTTGTAAAACTTTATTATTGTCTTAAGTAGCTTGTTGTTCTAAAACTGAAGCAAGGCCCAGATTCAGCAGAAAAATTTTATGTAGTGCTCTGAATTAAAAAAAAAAAAAAAAGAAAATACTTGCTTCTAGCCATTTCTGCTGTAGACCTGAAAACTAAGAACTGATTTATGCAAACTTCAGTTACATATTTTAAGCTGTTTACAAGCTGTTACAGCAGCTCCTTTGTACTTCTCCCCCTGTATCCGCTAGCCTTGATAGCAAAGGGTGGTTGAGCTTTAACTCAAGTAGGCAGTACTGACTAAACAATGTCCATTGGTTGGTCCTAAGGTTTTGTTGGTACAATTTCTTGTTTCAGTGAGTTAACTAGAACTTGCAAGGCCTTAAGGCAATTGTGCATTAAGAAGTACTTAAAAAGAAAACCTAAAAAAAAGCCACAAAGCAAACAAACAGCCCACAAACCCAACTAAGAAAAAAAAAGCCCCCCAAAAAACACCAACAAAATTCAAAACTCGTAACAAACAAACAAAAAAATGCTTCTAGTGGGTTCTTGAAAGGAGTGAAAGGAGGAAATTGAGTTCTAATCACTGCAGATCTTCACAGTACAAAACAGTTTAGCATTAAATCTAACTTTAATGCCTCTTGATTACTACTGATGTGGGCTAAACATCAACTATTCATTGACTGGAAATCTGCTGAAGCACATATGAATCCTGCATTTTTATGGAACCAGTGTTTGGCATTTGACCTACCAGAGAAGGGCCAAGATGATTAGAGAGATGGAGCCTTTCCTATGAGGAAAGGCTAGAGGATTTGGGATTGTTCAGTCTGGAGAAGAGAAGGCTTCAGTGTGACTTAATTGGCCTTCCAGTACCTGGAGGGAGCCTACAAGAGAGTTGGAGAGAGACTTTGCAAGGGCATTTAGTGACAGCACAAGGGGGAATGATTTAAACTGAAAGAGAGTAGGTTTAGATTAGATATTAGGAAGAAATTTTTTACTGTGAGGGGGGTGAGGCACTGGCATTGGTTGCCCAGAGAAGTTATAGATGCCCCATCCCTGCAAGTGTTCAAGGCCAGGTTGGATGAGGCTCTGAGCAACCTGGTCTAGTGGAAGGTTTCCCTTTCCATGGCAAGAGGGTGGAACTAGGTGATTTTTAAGGTCCCTTCCCACTAAGTCCATTTTATGATTCCATTCACTGCTGATCGCTCTTGCATCATGGTAACTTCTTCCCGCAGTCCCTTTCATGTTAATCCAAAACAGAGAGCTCAGATCTCATCTCTGAGGGTACAAAAATCCAAGTGACTAAATGACAGGTTTTTAAAAGCAATGCCTTAGATTAGACTGTAAGTATGTTCTATGTTCCTTGTGACAAGTATTCAAGAAGGACTTTTCCCCCTCATATGTATTAATTAATGTTTATATCTGTTAAGAGTTAGGGTCATATCTCTGGCAGAAGAGAAAATACTTTCTAGACCTTCAGCTGAGAAGTTAAAATTCCTGAGAACGTGGAAAAAGGAGAGATGTTTCAAATTCAAGATACTTCTATTTTAGCTTGCTGTCTAGGTACTTCAGGATTTCTGAAGATTGCTTGTTGCAGCACTGTTGAGATAGACTATCACCTCATGGAGATTTCATCCTTACATCCAATGGCTTGTTTTTAAAGCCTGTGACTGAAAATTCTTATCCATATTTCACATCTTGTTGTGGTGCACTTCTGCATATCAAGAGAGATTAAGGTAAAAGTGTGCAGCACAAAACCAGTAAAGGTGAATACCATATCTTTAGCTGCAACTCTTCTGGCATCCTCTCTTCACTTCTGATGTACAAGCCTTTTATTAGGCCCTTATCTCTGGTGGAGTTTACACTCAGATTAAGCCTGTGGAGGCAACAGGTTTTCACAGGTATGGGGAGTGGCCCAACTTGAACTGCAGAACTACTGTGGGGGTGTTGAAGCAGGCTATTTTTAAAAACTGCAAGATGATTTCTTGGCCTAGCTCTCAGCTAGCAAAACTATTCTGGCAGTGTCCTTGTTTTTCAGGCTTTGCTAGCATAACTGTATCCTGCATGTAAGAGGGATTATAGCTCCTTTTCATAGGAGTGGGAAAATAGTGGAAACCTGTGAATATTGAGTTCAGCTCCACTCAAGCCAGACCTGTGCAGAGTTTATCCTGCAATGAGGACTGAGGTGTCCCAAGAAACAACACAGTGGACTCTGCAGCTGGCTGGAGTACCTCCCACATAGTCATGTGCTTTCTTGACCATGAGTAAAAGAAATTCAAATGGAGGAGAGTGTGCCACTGGCATTTTCTGGAAGTCAGGGCATTACTGAGTGGAATAGTTAGACTTAAGATTTGCTGCTTCATGGGTTTGAGGAAGCGGGGGTGGTGTCTCCCATCTTGAATATAATACCTTGGTTCTTATTTCTTCCTTTTTTTGCTACGGGTGAAGTTTACAGAGCATTTTCCAGAATACAGTATGAAAAATTCTTTGTTCTTTGTATTGGAACTCAAACTGTGAAGTTTAGCTTAATACTTTCTCCATTCTTGCCTTTAGGTTTTGGGAAGAACTTGAGCGGTCATAACTTCTGCAAGCTTTCTAGCTCAATTTATAGAAAAAGTGTGGTTTTTCTCTTGTAACAGACATTCAGAGACTATGACCTGAAAAATGCTTCATTTACGCAACTCTTCATTTTAACAAAGTTGCAACACTCTTTTGTGCAACAGGAAGTACTATGCTTAACATACCCCTGCTTTTCTGCTAGACTTCATAAAAATACATCTAGCTGTCAGAAAACTTGTCTCTTCTGTGAGGAAATAAGCCACTTGGAGGAAGGAGGGAAAATGAATTTTAGTCAAGTAAAAGCTGAAGTATTTTCAGACCCCAGCTCTTCATAAAAAGTTGCGGAAATTGGGGGTTTTTGTTTGTTTGTATTAGTGGGTTTTGTTGTCTTTCTGCTTCTTTTTTTAACATGCACTAGTTAGTCTTAACTATCACAATACCGTTTCTTTCAAGTCTGCTCTCAAACCATAGTGTCTCCAGCAACACTCTAAATGTGGTGGGTGAAACAGATCCTTGGTTGAGATCTTAGACTTGTTGAAGCACATGTAACTACACGCTCTCAAGTCTGTCACACTTTCCTAACTTGCAAAGTGGTTTTAGAAAATTCTTGCCTTCCAGTCGGTTCAACTCCCTATGATTTCTACATCACTCTTTGTGGGGCTACTCTGCAAATAACATCAAGGAATGATCCTGATATATCTTTCCAGATTTCAGCTCTGACTAGAGCACAGCTTTACAGGTAGATGAGCTGGCAGGCAGCCACTTGTCTTTAAGAACAAGCTGTCGAGAGTAGGAGGAGGTCAGGGGCTTGTTAGGCTATAACCTCCCCTGAGGAAAAGTAACATGTCCAAACAGCACTGTTTTCACTAGTAAGCATGCCATCCAGTCAATGGATGGTGTTTCTGGATGTTTCAGGATGTGCTGTTTGTCTCACCTGGTTTCCCCAGAATCATCCTCTTCCAGAAATCGGGTGGGATAAGTAGCTTACCTATGCCATTGCTGTCATCTACTGTGGCAGCTGTATATCTTTGTCTACAAGGTGAAATTAAGAGATGCCGGATGAGTAGGTTTAGCCTGTTGCCTGCACTCGTCACAGGTGATGTGGGACTTGAAAGGATACCTGGACCTCAAGTGAAGTGTTATCTACAATAACTTTTTTTTTTTTTTTTTACCTTTCCATTGCAGGTGGTTAAAACCATAGGTTTGCGAGAGGTGTGGTACTTTGGTCTTCAGTATGTGGACAACAAAGGATTCCAGACTTGGCTGAAGCTTGATAAAAAGGTAACAGACTGTGGGTTAATTGCTGAGCAAAGGTTAAAGCCTATGTGATTCCTGATGTGTTATTGGCTGCAACTTTATAAACCTTGTACCCGTTGTTGATTCTTCCTTAATTTTCATAACTCTAGGATTATTTTTTAGACATAACTTTGTGATATCCTTGGGAATTGTTTGGCATGGTGGAAGTTTGCCCTTTCACTCTGCGTGAATTGTAGAAAGCGTTTTTCAGATATGCAGCAGCAGCTCAATACTGTATTTTGTTGAGTAGAAGCAGCTATGCTTTTTGTGACTGAAGAAACATCTTAGCTAATGATGGCTTTAGGCCCTGCTCGTGCAGGATCAGTTGTTGCACTAATTGGAAAGATGAGTCACTTCAAGGTTGGGCAGTTGTAACAGAGTGCTGACACCTCTGATGTGCTTCTGTTTGTGGACTTGCAGCCCTTATGAGAGTATAAACTGGTTTTCTTGGTGGAGCAGTCAGTGACACTTTTAATGTTAGGGGGCTGTTCTTTGTCAAACACATACAGTACTGGATGGGTTTGCCATCTGATAGAGCACAGTAAATCATTCTCCAGTGACCAAGGCTTGTTGTGCAAACAGAATTTTTCTGACATAGTTGAAAAACATAATACACCCCCCCATGTTCTCATACCAATGAGCAGCCAGAATTAAGAAATTCCAGTAATGAGCTGCCAGTCAAGCTCCTCTTAAGGCAAATACATTTTTCTGTGTAAAAGCAATCTATTCTGTTGTTTACAACTCTGCTCAGTTGTGGTGTCACCTCTGTCCTCAGGTTTCTGCTCAGGAAATTAGAAAGGAGAATCCTCTCCAATTCAAATTCCGTGCCAAGTTCTTCCCAGAGGATGTGTCTGAAGAGCTGATTCAAGACATCACGCAGAAGCTCTTCTTCCTGCAGGTGAAGGAAGGGATTCTCAGCGATGAGATCTACTGTCCTCCTGAAACAGCAGTACTTCTTGGTTCCTATGCTGTGCAGGCCAAATTTGGAGATTATAACAAAGAGGTGCACAAGCCTGGATACCTCAATTCAGAGCGTCTGATCCCCCAAAGGTGAAGAAGTTGGTTGATGCAGCCTCCCTTTTTTTTCTTTTTCTCATGGGGCTTTTGTTGTTGGGTTTTGGTTGGTTTGTTTGGTTTTTAATTTGAATTCTAGTTAAATACAAGGAGTTTCATTGAAAGCATGTTTGGCGGGTTTTTTAATTGAATTGTATACATTTGGGTTTCCCCTTATTTTATTTCTATCTGTCATATCAGAGTATGTTTTTGCCTCTCCTTGGGTTGGTTAGAGAGAGGAAGTATACTTTGGTATTCAGCTTTTATTTCCTAAGCATTGCTGCCATGCTGGTAACTGGCCATATGAATGTCTCCTCTTTAAGAAAAAAAGCACAGGATTAGATTAGGAATGTGTTATTCCTGAAGTTGGGTTGCGTGCCCTTAATCCCAATTTACAGTCCTAAAATCTCATATGCAGAAAGCATGTCTTGAGGCTATGCAGTCCGTACCCACACAAGATCAGTGGATGTTATCAGACCAGTCACTTCTGTTTATGCTTCCTGACAATGCTGCAGGAATGTCTAATTCCAGGAATGGCTCTAACTTTCTCTTTGCTTTAGTCCACCGGTGTCTACAGCATGTATGGGATTTGTTTGCAGTGTTTTGCTTATGCCTCTCATGTCTGTGGTCGGTGAATAGAAAGGCTTTGCAGAGGGTTTTGGTTCATTCTAAATTGCTCTGCTTCACCAAGTACATCTTTGGGCTGAGTTAGGGTCTTCTTTTTGGCTACAGTAAGACTCCCACCAGGGTGAGAGTAAGGCTGTGGCAAAGATCAGCATCGATAGATATTGCAGAACATCTAACCTTGCTAATATCTGTTTCCTTGTATAGGGTCATGGATCAGCATAAACTCTCCAGAGAGCAGTGGGAAGAACGGATTCAGGTGTGGCATGCTGAACACAGTGGCATGCTCAAGTGAGTGTTTTGTTTTGGTCCTAAGGCTGGTCACTATGTTGCTTGTTGATTACCTTAAGCTTGCAGTTCTACACCATGGTTTTGAAATAGACTCTATGAGTTGCCTGTCTGGGCCAACTTCTGGTATGTATTTTCTAGTTCATTGTTGAATTATATGGTAAAATGCAGTAGGACATTTTGTGACTTCCAGGACCTGTGTATATTGTATCGGTGATGACTTTGAGCAGGGGAAAAAAGTGAAGGTGTATGTCAAACCTTAGTCATTGAAGCATTTGCACTGACAGATGGGGAAAGTTCAGATAGTATACCTTTCCTACTGATTGTACCATGAGACAAGAATGAATGCTGAGAGAGATGAACATTGATAATTTTCTGTCTGGAAATACTGGGGTTTGGTGAAGGGGAGTGTTCTGTGTATGTGTTCATAGATGTAATATCCTAACTTCTAAAGTGAATCCCAAATGGTGAACATTCAGTTTTAACTCCTGTGTTTGATGTGGGGGTTTAGGAAAAGTTACCTTTTTCTTCTGAGGGCTTTTTGCTTTGACATAGTCAGATAAATAAGAAACCAACATTTGCTCTCCTTGCTATCTGAACCAGAGAGAATGCCATGCTGGAATACCTGAAGATTGCCCAAGACCTGGAGATGTATGGAATCAACTACTTTGAAATCAAGAATAAGAAAGGAACTGACCTTTGGCTGGGGGTTGATGCCTTGGGGCTCAACATCTATGAAAAGGATGATAAGTAAGGCTTTTGTTTTTACCTCTGATCTCCCAGAGGGGGTTGGTATGGGAGCCAAGAAACATTTTTCATTTACAGGATCAGGGCAAAGTTAAGAACTTGCTTGTGTTCCAGTTTTGGATCAGTAGGTGAAGCTAGGAAATGGGCTTTCACATCATCTGTGCTTTCATGGCTTTCCTGACCTCTGTGGCCTGACCCACTAATGCTACCTGCCGTATAAAGAGAAATGTCAGTGGTACAAGGCCATCTGCTTAATTGTGCACAGCTGTGGCACTGAATCCTGAACTGAGGAGTTTACCAGGCTTCTCCTTGAATCAGGTCGCCAGGTTTGCCATTAGTGGATACAATATGAGAACCTAGATAGCCCAGCATATCCTGAAGTTAATGATAGATGTGTGTACAACTGCCTGGTTTTGGAAAAGACAGATTATGGGGTGGGCACGAAAGCAAAGCTGGGTAACACCCAGAACCCAGGGAGGAGCTAACCTATATAGTTACTGTGAACAAGGAATGAAATGAGGTCTTGCTGCGGTATGCATAGTTTTAATCAGCCCTTCTGGTAAAGGCAGAGCCATTATTAATTGGATAGTAGGTGGGAAATGATAGACTACATCTATAAATAAACATAAGAGGAAGGTGAGAACAGCTGTGTCTAAGCCTGCTAGTCTCTTCTAATACTCCACAACTGAAGGATTGAAGGGGAGCTAAAATACTTATTTTTCAGATGTAGCATTGCTGTCTAGACTGTTTTTTCAAATCCCCCATCTCTTATGTTCCGAATCTTTGTTTCATGTCACTAATCTGTAACAGACTATCATTGTAATAGAGAAGGGATTTCACCTGTTCTACATCTTTGCCTCCAAAAATCTTTGAATGCAACCCAAATATTAATTGGAACTCGCTGGAGCTTCTGTTAACATGGCAAAAAGAGAGGCAGTCTTTTCTGCAATGTTAATATGTGCTGTCACCCAGAAAACAAGGAGTGTCACTTGAAAGAAAAGTAGTTTCGCTCATGTAATACTTCAATCTTGAATGACTAGTCTTGCTATGTAACCATGGTCACACAAACAGGTTTTTCAAGCTGGAGAAGCAGACAGAGTGTAGCCATTGACTGTAAAGAGCTATCAAGAGCATTTGCAAAACAAATACAGTGCTGGAATAAACTGCTTATTTCTGCCTGTAACTCTTGCCACTATGTAATTAAGTCTTTCAGCAGATATGGGGACTAGAAAAATAGTAATGTGTAGGGTGCCTCTGGCTTGTATGTGCAAAATTTGGGGACTGGGGACAAAGGTGAAAAAGAAGAGATTTCATTGTTGAAGTTCAACCTGAGGAAAATGAGACTGCTGTAGGTGTGTGAGCCTCTATGCTGCAGTGTATGTCAGTGTACCACTTCTAGGTGTATTCAAGCTTTTATTTTTTTTCCCTCTCATTAAAGAAGAGAATTGGCAATAGAACTTACTAATAAGTGAATTATTTTAGTTGTCCATCTTACTGATTATATAGGATTGAAACACTAAAGCTAATGTGATGGAGGCTGGAGTAATTAGTTAATCTTAGTCTAATCGAATCATTTTCTTTACAGTCTTTACTTAATGTTACACACTCACACTGTTGCATAATTTTGCGGTTGAGTTAAAGGTTAGGGAGTGAAAAGTTCTGAAGAGGATGGATTTTATTCTTGATGTTTGAATTTAAATGAAGTAGGGGGTTTTTTATGGTTGGACCCAGCAAAATCTTGCTATGTAATGGCTTTCCATCTCTTTGACAAAGAATGAAATTCCTCCAAAATTGCCAGTTTTTTTTCCTTAACCAATGAGCTCCATAAGAAGGATTCTTACAGAATTTGAATGGTTCACTGTGATGAGACATTTCTCTAAGTGCTAAACATTAAATACATGTCTTCAAACCATTTGCAAGAAATAATTGTGACAGAGACACATACATAGGAGGGGTTAAAAGATTGCTTGTTGGTATTATCTTTTATGTAAAACACAATTCTTAATCATTAACAACTGTTTCTAGAGAATATACCTTCCCTTGATAAGAGGCAAATGGAAGAATAATGAAGTGATATTAAACATAAAAAATGGGAATATTTGGTTGGGGAAATTAGAGGACTTTATTACAGTCAAATACAGAAGTCCTTGTAATATTAGAACTTGCTGCAGAGCTGGTCAGATGTGTAAGGGTGAAGTACTGGAATGGCTCAGAAATATTTGGTCTTATGAAAAACTAGACGCTTTTTATATGCAAGAATTTGGAGAAATTAAGGTAGAGGAAAAAACCTCAAATGATTAGTGAAGCTTTTAGAAATAATTATAAACTAATAACAGACCTGAACTCCTCAGCAATGAGGAAGAGCTGGGAATCTGAATCTTGTCCTTTGCTTCCTTGGGGTGCTTTTCAATAGGGGAGAGTCACATGATGCAGCTTGTTGAATGACCAGCCAGTAAAGTTCCATTTGGTGACTCATGGGATGGGCTGAAAGAGCAGTTTGTACAGAAGGAAAGAACAGGGCTCTTTGTTACTAAGCTTGCCTGTAAATCTAGGGAAGAAGATATCTAAAGGGAGGGTGTCAAGAGGACGGACCCAGGCTCTTCTCAGTAGTGCCAAGCAATAGAACAAGAGGCAATGGGCAGAAACTGATGCACAGGAAATTCCACCTGAATATGAGGAAGAACTTCTTTACTGTGTGGGTGACCAAGCACTGGAACAGATTGCCCAGAGAGGTTGTGCAGTCTCCCTCGCTGGAGATATTCAAGAATCATCTGGACACAATCCTGTGCAATGTGCTCTGGGATGACCTAGCTTGAGCAGGGAGGTTGGACCAGATGACCTGCTCTGGTCCCTTCCAGCCTGACCCATTTTATGATTCTGCGAAACAAAAGACGTAATTGCTCCTACCAATTGTGCCTGTTCAGCACTCCAGAAGTGAAGGCTGCATGGAGGTGACTGGTCTAGCTGTAACATAGCAGGGTACGTTTTTCTGTGGGTGCTATAGGGTGTGGGGATCAGCTCAGTTACTTTGGCTTATGCCTATAATGATGTATGAGAAGCACGTGCTCTGGGAAGCACGGCACATAAAATCTGCATTATGTGAATTTTAGGCCTGGATTTCAAAGGAACAAACTTAAAACAGGTGTTTGATAAAGCTGAGCATGTGGCTTCAGTAGAGTCCATCATAGTCAAAGGTCAGTAGGGTGGCTGACCAAAATGGGAAGAGACTCAATAAGAGAGGTGACTGGGCTTCTTCTCCTACTCCCTGTGGGGTTTTGGTTCACTTACTGTTTTCTGTCTGTTGGGAGAGCTGTGTGAAGCATTGCATTACACAGCGTCTGTGTGTTAGAAGGAATGTGAGGAAAAAAAAGTTTATTGCGTCATCTCTTAAAAATATTTTTCTTCTTTCCAGACTAACTCCAAAGATTGGGTTCCCCTGGAGCGAAATCAGAAACATCTCCTTCAATGACAAGAAGTTTGTTATAAAGCCTATTGACAAGAAGGCACCAGTAAGTGTGTCTTGAACAGATTTCTGGATACTGCATATGAACAAATGATACAACTTCATCTCAAAATAGTCGTTGGAGAGGAGAAAGCTGCAGATATTCTAGATGCAAAATGAGCCTTAGTATTTAGAGTGTATGTAGAGCTGTCTGTTTTTCTGTACAGCATAAGTACAGAAGGGCTTATAGCAATATCCAACATGGAAAAGATAAGGACTTTACAACTGCAGAGTCCTTTTATTTTCTAGCAAACTAGGTAGCTTTATGCCTAAATTAGAGATTCTTTAGTAGTTCCATGAGTCCTCTCCCCATTTCTTTCAGTGCATGGAAGCTGGTAGATAACTTTTGTTTTTGGCTTTTAATCTGAAGAAAAAAACCAAAAATGTTCATTAAAAAAAATTACAGAAGTAATTAAAATGCTACTACAAAACCACATGGAAACAAATGGCTAATGGCTTCCCATCCATCACTGCTCACTTCCACACTACTGAGTAAAAGCCAGTAAAGGCCCGTGGGGTTGTTCACTGACTTTCTTGAATACTAATGTAAATGCCAGGGATATGACTTCTGTGAAGAACTGAAATGTAGCTACCTGTGAATGTTGCTTTTCAATACTTACAAGTATGTTTTCAGAGTTATTTTAGTGAGGAATTAGAAGCTTACTTTGACCTGTTGAGAACATAACGTGGAATAACTGGTATAGGTGGATGTCATTCTGTCAGTCTTGTGAAACTATTTGAATAGTTGAGAAAGATCTCCTCTTGTCTTCTCCCACCCCAGTACTTGACCTTGGTGGGCAAGTGCAGCCCTGAGAAATAATAACCAGTTAGGCTTTGTCAAAGGACAATAGCTTATAAATATCTCTAATAGAAAAAGCTCCTCCCAATAATTTAAAGGATACTAATGCACAGTGTGCTGCAGGGATTTCTTCCAGATAACATCCTGAGGGAGTGGAGCTTCTTTCTGTGATGCTGTTAGTGAAAACCAATAAAACTCCACAGAGTCAGAAAGCTGATCTGTCAGGCATGCTTTCCTCAATAGAATAGCCTCTGTCCTGTGTTGTACATAATTACAAAATATGGATCACAGCTTTCCACCCACTTCCCAGCAGTAAATCAGACTGAGTTTGAAATGGAGGACTCGCAAGAGGCTGTTACAGAAAGGTGTTAACGCTGAAAACTTCAATTACATTTTCTCCCTCTGTTAATTGTCCTTTTCCCTCTGAGTGATGGTATGTTGAAACCTTTACTTGAAAGAAGAATTTATCTGGACACTAATTCTGAGCATTCAGGAAGTTGTCTGGGTCTTTTCATGTGTTTGTGTCTCCTTTTAAAATGGCAGGTGTTATAACTACAGCAGAATACTCAGTCCACCCAAGATGTGGGCTGGAAGCTCCCCTTTAATTTGGAGGATTCTACATGTCTGTGTTTAAATGGACAGTAGTGTAAAGGGTAGAGTCCTGTGGCACCTTGCCCTGCTTAACTAAGCTTTTAAATTTTTAGGCTTGCCTGCCCACATACTGCAACACCTTCAGCACATTATCTTTCAAATATCGAGGTGCAATGCTCCCAGTTTTGTGAGACCTGGGGGAGGCTGGGGATAAGAAAAGAAGGGTATTCTTTTATGTTCTTATTTAAATGTTTTGTCCCTTGGTTATGGCTTAAATGATAAATGCAACCACCATTCATTCCCTCAGTATTTAATTCCATGTAAGTGAGCCTTGCCTCAGGATAGGGCTTGTTCATCACAATGTACACAGACTGTTTGTTTTTAAAATTACTTGTTAGAAGGAGGAGGTCAGATGAATAGCTTACAGGTACAGTTCAGGTAGCAGTATCAGACCTGTACGGCTCAGAATGGCTCTGGCAGAATCTGGTGGGAGAGCACAACACACTTCCCAGACTGCCTCTCCTGCAGTCATTGTGTGCATTAGAGAAGTGCATTGGAGAAAATGAGTCTTTGTTGCCATATTCATCTTAAGTAGCACTTAGGGAGCTTTTAATTGCTTCTAGTGTGTCTTCTAGTTTTTCCAAAGATAGCCACAATTGTGCTTCTGAGCTCAGGCAATTAAAAACATGATCACTGCTTCTATGCAAAAGTGTAAAGCCCATGTGGCCCTTCCCAGTTCCACCTCTTGCTAACAGTGAGGCAATCCATGGGAGAGTGATTCTAAGGAATGGGTACTGGCTTATGGTGGTAATGTGGCAGCTTGCCCACTGCCCTTATCACCATCCACACAGTACACAAAAAAGCACAAAAATGTTGAGTTTGTTCACTGTGTAAGTTCAGACTTCATTGTAAATGCATGAGGTTGTGGACTCAGTAAAATCATCAGGCAGGTAATGAACTTGGCCCTGTGTATCCCTTTCTTAGCAGATTTTCTTCTAGAAAATCCAGTCTGATTATAACACAGATAATAAGAAATTTGCAGCTGTTCTTGCTGAACCAGAAATTTTAGAGTATCTTGTGCTTTGCTACTGCCTGCAACCTGATATTCCAAATAACCCATATATTTTTAGTTTTGTGCTTTATCTTTCATTCACAAAAATGTGCAAACTGAAAAACTACTCAATGCCAGAAGTCTGTGTTGCCCAGATGTTTACTTGCCAACCCAGAATCTTCTCCAATATTTAACAATATTCATTTAAAGGAGACTTCATTGAGTTTGGAGTTTTCTCTAGAAGATAATTTTTCTAGAAGAATAACTTATCAATTTTATGTAGACTTTAAAAGGAGAATATAAATAACAATAATTTTTGCTAGAGATGATTTCGACAGTCCCTGCTACTATATTTAAATAGCCTTGCATGTGTGTCTGAATTAGAGTGAAATCAGTGGCAAGGTTTTCTGTCTGCAGTTAGCTGGGAGAAGAGAAAGCATGCTTATAAAAAACCGACTGTGTTGTCTCTCTTCTAGGACTTTGTGTTTTATGCCCCTCGTCTGAGAATTAACAAGAGGATCTTGCAGCTCTGCATGGGCAACCATGAACTGTATATGCGACGCAGGAAGCCTGACACTATTGAGGTGCAACAGATGAAAGCCCAGGCCCGGGAAGAGAAGCACCAGAAGCAACTGGAAAGGTGAGCTTGAATACAGGCAGCAGGCATGGAGTGGCAGAAATAAATGACACTGAACTCCCAGGGTCAGCAAGCAGCTGTACCTGCGGGTCAGCAGTCAGTAACAGGGGTTTTGCCTGGGCAAGGCTAAGAGCCATTCCAGGTTCATGAGGCACACGCATGGTCCTAGGAGGGGACTCGGGGTGTCCTGCAGCGGGACTGTAAGCATTGCTCTTCTTGTGACCATGCAGGTCTGCTGTCCTGTGCAGTCTCAAGAGCTGCGAGGACATGTGCAAGTAAAGGCACAATGGGCTCTGGTGGTGCCCACCTAGAGGAGGGTTCTACTGACTCTCAAGTGTTAAAACCTGAATTATGTGCTGGACCATGGGATGGTTGGGAGTAAAGGGGAAACCTTCGTGGGGAGCATATGTGTACAGTGTAAAGAGAGAAGAGGGGACTGGGACATTTCTTACATGCAAGGAAAAAGCAGTAGCAATTCTACCACTGGCTTCAAGTTGCTTATGGTTCAAGAAATCATGCTGCTTTTCTCCTGTGTTTGTGGATTGTTTGTCTTCATTCCCTCACTGCTGTTGACATTTTTACGCCTCCTTCACTTTCCTTACAGCAGAAGTAACAAAGTTAAATCTCCTCTGCTGTGCAGTCCAAGTCCTGCTTTTTCTCTCTGCATCTAGTAGCTATTTGGTGTTCTAAACTTCTGTAGTGGCCAGCAAAAATACAATTTAAATGAAACGGGGCATCCAAAACTGAGCAAAAATTCTGAAGTGATAAAGGAACAGCCTATTTCTGTCTCCTGGCTCTTCTTTCATGGCAGCCACTTTCCATTGAGCTGCCTGGAGAGATGCCCACCCAACTTTCTTGTTTGGTGGTAGCTTGAGTCTGAAAGTGAGCTTCAAACCTGAAATGTGTTTCTAACAGGAAACAACTAGAAGATGAAAAGAGGAGGAGGGAGACAATTGAGAGGGAGAAAGAGCAAATGCTGAGGGAGAAGGAGGAGCTCCTGGTGAGGCTACAGGAGTATGAAGTGAAGACTCAGAAAGCAGAGAAAGGTAAAGTACTTGTCATGGCTGACCAGACTGTGTGTATTGTGCTCCATAGAGGGGTTACATGGATCGCTGCCTATGCCTTGACTAAATCTGGTGACACTGAGATCTCTTAGCAAGGTTTACTAATATCTTCCTGTATGGGTAAATACACACATGTGCACACAGTACTCATAATAATCCAAAGTATTAAAGTAGCATAAAATCTGCTGACTGTATTTGGGAACCAAAGGGCAAGAACTCTGTTTTCCCCAGTTGCCAAGAGAGTTTAAGTAGCGGAGCCTCTTCCGGCAGTGAGCAAGAGTTCAGCCCTCAAGTACTTTTTACTTAATGCCCAGCAGAAAAAAGTGCTTTGGGAACAAGTCTTTCCAATGAAATGGAAACATTCTGTTTCAATGCATAGATGATTAGATTGGAGACAGCAACGTCTGGTCTGTTAAGGGCAGCAGAGTTTTGTCAGTGTTACAGACTTTTTAGTGCAAACATCTTGCAGAAAATCTAATTATAATGTGCATCTGACTCATCTGAATCCAGTTACTTGGTGTACTATGCAAATAATTACTTTGAGGAGCATGGCGAAGGGAGTATTGTATGCTGGAGTAAAGTGCTATTGTGACTTACTGCAGTTACCTGAGAGACTGTTTGTAGTTCCTTAGCTTTGGCCAGGCTTGTGGACTAACCGTGCTGATCTTTTTCCAGAGCTCTCAGATCAGATCCAAAGAGCCATTCAGCTGGAGGAGGAAAGGAGACGAGCCCAGGAGGAAGCAGAACGTTTGGAAGCTGACCGTTTAGCTGCTCTGCAGGCCAAGGAAGAGCTGGAAAGACAAACTATGGACCAAATAAAGAGCCAGGAACAACTGGTAAGACCTAGTCATTCTGAGGATCAGATATGCTACTATGTCCTTGAGTAAGGCAAAGCCATCTTGTCCAGGGAAAAACCTGGAGCAGTAAAGTACTAGACCATGTCATAGGATCATTATGGCACTGGTTTCTATCATAAGGAATCTACCTATTTGTTCCTTATTTCTTTATTACAGTTAACAGTGTTTCTTTGTTGTGCTTGGTGGTTGGGTTGGGGTTTTTTTAAGAGTCCTTATAATTCCAGTTTTATTATTAAACAGGCTACAGAGCTTGCAGAGTATACAGCCAAGATTGCACTTCTTGAAGAGGCAAGGAGGCGTAAAGAGAGCGAGGTTGAAGAGTGGCAAATCAGAGTGAGTATCTGCCTTACAAAGTTGCTCTAAAGTTCTATGCTTGAGCAGAGCACACTGTGGTGCTTATCTTGGTGTGACTTCTCTACACATATGGAGACAAACATCTGCACAGCAGTGAAGAGGGGCAAACTTGTGGTGAATGTGCAATATGCCTGCAAAACACCTTTCTTCCAACAAACCGTCAAAATTCAAAATGGAAGCCTATATAAAACCTAAAAATATGATCATCATCTTGGAGCCATGGAGGGGGAGGGGCACATGGATAAATGATGCCTGATGCATGATAAAATGTCTGAAAACATCAGTCAAGAGAAGATTCTGCAAATGCAGCCACACTGCAGGTATCCATTTTGAGGAGTGTGTGCTGTTGTTGGTGGCTTCCTAGTCGGCATAGTTTAGCAACATATGGTGCACTAAAACCAAAGACAAACCACACAAGGTTCAGAGTGCCTGATGCTCCCAGTGCCCTGTAACTGGGGCTATGGGCTGCATGGGAGGGCAAAACCACTGAAGCAGTAAGGAAGGTGCCTGCCTAGTGCATAACTACATTCAAAATTCCAACTTGGGAATCTGAGTTCTTCCTCTGTAGAACTCGTCTCTTCAGCCTACAGCTCTTCAAATGGAGAACAGGATGAAGATAACTGTAGCTTCCCACAGAACAGTTTTTTCTAGGCTGTTTTAGTGGAAGAAGATTCTTTGCTTAGATCTCCTGCACATTACACAATGAATGATGATAACATACCTAGCAAAAAAAAATAAAAAAAGTTCTGTATATGACTTATAGAGTACTGTCAGCTGCAGAGATTTAATTCTCTCTTCCTTGCTTTTCATAGTGGATTGAAAAAACTGGGAAGATAAGCATTTGAGTGTTCATTAAGCTGGTTTAAAGCAAGAAATGCATTTAAAATACTTTTTATTCTTTTCCCAAAGGCCAGGGAAGCCCAGGAGGATCTGGTAAAGACAAAGGAAGAGTTACACCTGGTAATGACTGCTCCACCTCCACCTCCACCACCTGTCTATGAGCCAGTGAACTACCATGTCCACGATAACTTGCAAGACGAAGGCTCTGAGTACTCTGCCTACAGTGCAGAGTTCTCCAGTGAGGGGATCAGGAATGACCGCAATGAGGAGAAGCGCATTACTGAAGCAGAGAAGAATGCACGTGTACAGAGTCAACTGAGGGTAAGATGATGTCTGGGGGAAGCAGAGTAATTGAAACAATCTTTCCTGGAAAACATCGTTTAACCACTTGGTTATACGCACCGAGTATGATAGTTTCTCTTTGTTTACAGTTCCTGTAGGCAGTTTGAAATAAAGACAAGGTATATAAAGATTACTCTCACTGCTGAAGCTTTGAGGTTGCTTAAATCATCCATAGTGTTTATGGAAAGCATATGTTGTATCCATGTCACTGATCTGTCCAGTCATCTGTCAGCTCTCACCAAAGAACTGTCATGAGCTGGAAGCTTCTTACAAATAACCTGTATTTAATGTTCTTCATATTGCAGGCACTGACAGATGAGCTGGCCCAGGCTAGAGATGAAAATAAGAGGACCCAAAATGACATTATCCACTCAGAGAACATGCGACAGGGACGTGACAAGTACAAGACGCTGCGGCAGATCCGGCAAGGCAACACCAAGCAGAGAATCGATGAGTTTGAGGCGATGTAACAATGCTTGTAAGAAGACAGGACTGTGGGAAAGGCAGATCTTAATGCTGTGTTCTTATTTTGGGGTTTTTTTGTTGTGTTGGTTTTTTGGTTTGTTTTTTTTTTCCTGAGGAGGCATCACTGTACGACACTTAACAAATGTTCTCTAAACCCAGAGGTGTTTAAATCTCCCATTTATCCTGTACCTTCTCTGAAATTTGATATAGTTAAAAACTTATTGTACCACTGATCCTGGTATCTTGCTCATGCCTTTGCTTAGTGCCAAAAGGCCTTATGTCACATCTCTCTTTAAGCAAGACAAATTTTAACAGGCTGTGCTTCTAGTTGAAGATACATGTCCTGTGCAGGTGCTGGATTCATCCTGGTCTAAAAAATAAGCATCTGTGGGTGAATTTTGTGCCATACGTCTTTGTATTATTAGTTACAGTGTGAAGTCCAGCAGTTGAGAAGACAGGTTCTGGAACTCAGGATTTGCAAGCACCCGAGTGTGTACAACCTTGCACATGTGCTTGTACGCCCTGTTTTTTCCTTGGTCTTGATGCCCATGTTCCCCCTCCCCAGCCCACCCCCACACACAAAAGAACTGACAACACCTCAGAACTACTTTGTGTAGAAATTAGGCGTTTTCTGGTTACTGTTCTCAACTGGAGAATTTCTGCAGTGATGGCTCAGAAGTGTGGCATAGGGACACTCATATCCTCTTCACGTAACAAGTAGCAAATACTCTGTTGGAATCCAAATACACTACTGTGTTTGCATTCCAACTTCATTACTGATCAGATATAGTGTAGTATTTATATATATATATATATAAACATGCAACATGTGGATTGCAGTACTAGTTTAAAGGGAAATAGTTTTGCTCTGTATATTTTGTTACTTTTCAGATTTAATAAGACTTGTGTCTGTAAAAATGCCTAAACAGCACTGTAGTCTGATACAGTGCAGCTGATTATTTACTATAAAGCATTATTTGTAAAGATCATTTTTTTACTTAATGAAAACTGTTATATGTACACATGATCCAGTATATACAATTTTACTGCACCTATTTTTCTAACAAATTTTCTAATTTTTTTAAATGTTTGATTTAAAGTTTCAGACTCCAAAGATGAAGGGACTGCTTGTTTATATCACAGTTGAATTCTCTCTAGTAGAGAGCATTTCTGTGACCATTCTTCCCCCACTCTCCCCCTTTCCTTGAAAATCTGTTAGAAAGTGAGATACAGTATGTTGTCACCTCTTCTCTTCCATTTACAATATCTATGCTGCATTATACGTGAGTAGAATCTTGTGTGGGGTTTTTTTTATTTGCAGCAGCAAACATCTAAATAAAAGATCTGCAAAGTAACAAAGGATGTGGAGTCAAGTGTTTCTTCTGTGGGGTGTATTCTGTATAAGGTGTACTACTGCTCTTTTAGTTCCTCAGCTTAGCCTGTTAGTCCTTGCGTCTTTAAATCTTAAATCCTTAAAAGCCACACTGACCTATAAAGGAAGAAAGGGCAATACTTGCAGTAACAAAAGTTTAACACGGCAGCACTAGTTACAGTTGTATATATGAAGTTTCTGCCGACTGTAACGCTACATCCAAGGCAAGGCAAATTGCCTCAGTAGTTTGGCCTAAGCTTGCATTTCCACCAGTACACATGAATAAATGATAAAGTCATTTAGTCAAGAGCTAAATTCTTGTCACATGCTGTACGCCCTATGGATCAGACTTGTTAAAGCTGTCTTACAGCGGCAGATAAGAAGGAACTTATTACACCCACACTTAGTCTATCAGCTGTTGTCCCATACTCCTACTGAGGGAGAATTTGTACCTTAACTTTCTAAGCCCTATGATGTAGCACACATTTGAGAGACGTGGCTACAGGCCAATGCTTTTTAGTGGCACGCAAAATAATAGTGGCAGTGTAGATAATTCTGAAGCAGTTATTAGCATCTCCCCTTTGCAGCAAGCAGACAAAGATAAGCTAGGTTTCAGTTCTGAGTATAAAACATTAACCTCAGAGTGAAAGCACATAACTTTCCTCCTGTAACAGTTATTTTCTCTGAGAAGTATTCCTCGCTGTGACTAAACAATGAGAGTTTGGCTATGCCCAGAAATGGAAAACTGCGTATTGTCTGGCTACTGTTGCTTTGTCAGCATAATGCATCTCAAACTGAGACTGTAACTCCTGAAGAAACAATATTAACCTTATACTCCAGCTAGAAACACAAGTTAAAGCCTTTACTTTTTAAGAAATAAAACATTCAGAATGTCACACACTTTCAAATACATAAGTCTATTCCCCAAAAGCCAGAGTGGATGCATTTGCATCGTACCTTTCCCCAGACCTGAAGTCTGGGGAAGTCTAAAATATCACAAATGGGGAAGGAAAAGTTGTGTGATAATTTCTCATGATTTAAAGTTTTCCTTATTTGAATGCAGTACAAGTGTAAAGTCCATCCACATGTTTGGGTTGCAGAGCACTTCTTGCCATTGGAGCACTGACTGAGAAACAAGGTCTGTAGAGCCAAACAGTTCCTCTGCAAGAAAGCAAAAGGAAAGGTCAGTTACTTTTCACTAAGCCTTACCCAGCTTCAGGCCCACTAGTTAACAAAATAACCTGTTCACCCACTTCTAAAGTAATTTCAGCTCCTAAGGCACTAATTGCAATAAATTGTATTTATACTTTAGAAGTATTACTTACATCCTGTAAACCAGGATTTCTCTCTGAAGATCTCCGCTTGCAGCAAATAAAAAGTTTTTGGTTGTATGACTAGAAGCAGAGGAGCAAGTGTGTGCACTATTAATAGCTGAATGGTACAAAATCTCCTGCTTCAGTTCATCTCCAGTACCTCCAGTGCATTACTAAGCTTAGGGCTTGGATCACTTACAAGCAGGTAGCCCCTGCTCTAGCAGAAAGGAAAAGGCTGGGTCAGATAATCAGAAAAAGTTCATGAGGAAGCCTGCAAAACATTGACTTATCACTAGTGATAATACTCCTCTAAAGTGCATACTGATACCCAAACAACATGACAGCCTCAATCTTTTTTGAACCTGTCATCTCAAATACTGAAACCACAGCACTTACTCTCAGGGAGGATGGGGCTAGGAGACTCTGTTGGTCAGCCTTCAAGTGATAAGGGTTGGACTTGATCTCAGAGGTCCCTTCCAACCCGGCTGATTCTATGATCCTGTGATTCTATGATAATGCTTCCCTGCTCAACTACCAGGAAAACCGGGCCTATTTAGCAAGCAGAGGGTTTTTCAGATGTTTCTCAGCCTTCAGAAAGAAAGTTTGCTCTTATGTTAGAACAGAGCCCAAAACTCACACATGCAATAGCCCCTTCTGAGCAAGTTTCACCTTCTGTATTTCATTGATTGGATTGATTTGTGGATGTAAAATGATAATCACAAACATAAGCAAGGTTGGAGTCTACTAGATCATTAGTTCTTGTGCTTTCTTTTGATGAGAAATCATTTAAAATTAGCCAATTCATAGAAAACAGTTAAGAGAATAAGTCTTTAAAAATACAGAGAGCTCTAGGTGGAGTTAGAGCCAGACCATTTCTGTGCTTGTCTCAGCATGGCTCTGACCTCAAAAGTCACCATGTTAACAAATAGCTTTCCTGAAAATTTCCACTGAAAACCTTGAGCTTCCCCACAGACCTGAACTAAAGCACATGCATCAGTTCTTGCAGGATCAAAGCCCAAGACTGCAAGTTGCTTATGACAGAGGCTGGGACTGCATGTATAGGCACATGATAGCAGGTAATAAATAGCATAGTATAATTCTTGTTGTTTAGGATGTAAACTAAAAGACCTTTTCCCCAAATTACCTTCAACTTTTAGTGGTAAAGTACTTACTTGTACCGAGCTTGGCTCCTCCTAGGAATCGATCACTTGAGCTGAAAGTTGACTTGTCCCAGACAGTCAGGTGTAGACATGATTGCTGTAGCTGAGCTGGGGTCACACCATCAAACACAAACAAGTGTTTCCACTGAGGATAGGCTTCTTTCTTCAGGACAGGAGACTTTTGCCTTACCTCTGCTTGGTTTGGAAGGATAAGACAACTTTCCCAAAAAAATAAGAGTTCAGCAAAGTTACTGATTTCTCAACAAGAAAACAGAGCATTTGCAATAATCAACTAAGGCTCTTTGTTTTACCTTAAAGAGCAAAAAAGTTTAGCTTAAGTACAAGATAGAACATGGTGCTAGTGTGTTTATTTTGGGATTTGCACCTTCTCCTGCTTGTCATTAATGTGAGTGCAAGTAGGTTCTTCTGGTCTGCTTTAACTTTGCAGTCACTGACTGCTGAAGGAGTCTTTACTCCACGTGCTGTTATTCAATACTGCCTAAAACCTGTCTTTCAGTAGCTAAAATGCTCACCCATTTCACCAAAATAGGTGCCACAGCAGGTAAAATAGTGTTATGAGATGTAAGTTTACCCCAGTATCATATTTCTAATGGCATCTGATGCCTGACAACAGGAAAGTAAAATGATCCCACATACAAGCTACTCAGCATACTGAAGAAAAATTCAGTCCCTTCTCTTTCAAAATGTCTGGAATGAAGAAGATAAAAGTTTTCAATGTATCCCAAGCTTTACTTAATTCTGCAAAAGCTGAAACTAGGAATGATGATACTGTATTTGTTTGCAAATTTTTTTCCTCTCCTAATATCTAAAAGCACATACTTAAACTAGTGAACTCTAAATTTTAATGACATCATTAAATTCTAAATTTCAAGACCAAGAGGGCAGGTGGGACCTGTCACCACTCTGCAAACTGCTGCTGTTCTGCAGGCACTCAAATGAAGCCATTACAAGGAAGCCTAAGTGTAGACGGTGGCAGTTTCAAATGCAGTCTGCTGATGAAAACATGTTAATACACATGTTTGCATGGAACACGTGACATTTCCTATTTGTAGTGTTAGGTCTCATACATACCCTTTAACAAAGGAGTTCAACACTCCAGCAGGTCTCAGCATGGGCAAGTTTTTAGCCCCAAATATCATAATCTGAAGCTGGCAGTTGGGAACTCCTTGGTCTTTGTTTCCTGAAAAAGGGAGCCCTTATCACATGAAATGCCCAGTCAGTTCAGCTCATAGCTTAAGATGCTACTATAAGTAGGGGAATGCCTAAGTGGTACTACTCAGATAAGGAGTCATAAGGCTGTACTAGGAATATTTGAAAGATTTTAACATGTTTGTACAGTGTATGATTCACACAAAGAAAACCAAGCAATGAGTATCAGGCTGCTTTGTGATTTCTATTCCAAAGATAAAGCTTTCTGCTGTGTTTGTGAAATGTCAACACAGGACAGTACCCACAGAAACATTTCTCTGGAACAGTCAGAAGCAGGAGAAACAGCCAAACCCATGGTGTGATACTGCTCCTCTCACAGCTCTAGGTACAAAGCAGAGACCCAATACACAGGCCTGCACAGGGAGGAAGAATTGAGGAAAGCAAGCTGATAACTTTCGGGTCATTTGGAAAAGAAAAAATTAATACACCACAAAGCACCATTTGCTGCAGCTGTTAAAAATCCCATACAGGAATATTACATGGACACATTGCCAGTCCTTCATTGATCTCAATTCTTTTCTAGCCAAGGGATTCACAGAATCATAGAACCATTTACACTGGAAAAGACCTCTATGAATGCTGAAACATTTTATACCTTCAAACTGGAAACTTTTATACTGGGCTGGTACCAAGAGTCTTGCAGACAAGAGGAGTTCACCGCTGTACTGGGTAAGATCATCTTCAGGCTTTTCAAGCTTAAGAAAGGGACATACAGAAGTTTGCATTACTGCAATCATTCTCTTACACATCTTTGTCAGAGCTTATTTGTGTTTGTGACACATCTTACTAATGGGCTGGATTGACAGCATTTTTCCCTCAATGATCTCAGAAGGGTGATCTTTTTCATAGCCTTTACAGCATCTTGCTCTTAAAATAAAACTAAGAACAAAAACTAAGAATCACCTTGGGTTTGAGTTGATACCAGTCAAATAACTGCATTGAGTCCTCTTCAAAATTCCATGCTGCCAGTGGAATCACTACTTCCCCCAAAAACACCCTGTATTTGAGTGCTCCTGCATGCCACACAGAGATCTGAAGTTGCCGACTTCGCAGTTGGGAGTATTCAATCTTGTACTAGAAAGATAAACAGCATTTACAGAGCAATACACAGGATGAATGCAGCCCACGTTCATGACCTGCTTACAGGAAGCCCAGGCACAGCATGGCTGAAGGCAGATATGAACCATGATGTCTGTGTATGCTTTGCAATCTGCATATTACCCCAAAATTTAAATGCTAAATAACGCTCATTCAAACATATATCAACATTCCAGGAATACCTTGACCTGCCTTGCTAAAGATTTTGATTATTAATTCAGAACTTTAAATAATTCTTGACCATTTTTCCCGGGTTAGGTTGTTGTTTTTTTTTTTTTCATTTGTTTGGTTTTTTGGTTTGTTTCTTTTTTTGGTTTGGCTTGGTTTTTGTTGGGGGTTGGTTTTTTTTTTATATTTCTGTTTACGCTCCCAGCAGAATTGGGCTGCTCTGGAGGCCAGTTCAAGATTAAGACATCTAATGATGGTGCTGAAACTCCCATCCTGTTCAGTGGACATCTACTTAATGCAGTCAGTCAGCAGGGGCAAGGAAGTAACTCAGGTGATCACTAATTAAAGCATTGATCCAGTCCCCAAACATAGATAGAGCCCTTTGAGACATTGTTGGGTATCTAATATACCACATGGTATATGGTATGTGGGTATCTAATATACCCACATGAGACTGGCAAACATGATACCCAGCCCATAGGTGACCTGCACTGAAAGCTGAAGGCAATGGAGAGGCAAGGAAATCGCTATCCATATTTAGGCTGTTGAATCAGAAGCTGGGTGTAGGCTCTGTGGCTAATCACCCTGAACCACCCTGGGCTCCAGTGATTCCCAGGAGCACTTGCAACTCCCTCTAAATGCAGGTGCCTTAACTTGCAGCTGAATCCCACCAAGCTGGATCTCAGTGCCATGATGTAATTCACTTGTAATAGTGCTATGCACTTTTGACCATTTTCACTGAATTCAGTTCCCGAACGTACAAAAACCCATGTCTATGGAAAACACTTTGCTTTCGCCACAAGGTAACTCAGAACAACACTGGTATTCATTAAAAGTGCTCTCTCGGACAAAGGCAGACTCTTCTAATGGTTTGTCATTTACTGTTGCAACTCCAAAAGCATTTTCTCTTATTTGGACTGAAAAAACATAATTTTAAAAATTATTATTGTCAGCAACTCCTAAATTTGCTCTATCAGGTCGATTCAGAACTTGCAGGATTCTATCATAGAAAAGCACACTTAGCAGCAACACAGTTGCAAACCATACCTTCAAAGTCTCATTGAACTCTGGATCCACTGTGCTCTTTTTGACAGCTGTCTTTCGCTTACTCCAAGGAGATTTATCAGGAAGTAAATAAACCTTAACATACCTTATATAGAGAGAGAAAGATACATTGAAAATGATCAGAAGGGGCAGGGAGAAAACAACTAGATGAGAGGAGGTTTTTTTATTTCTTAAACAATTTTATTGACTTTGTAAGTTTCCATCAACAAAATGGCAAAATGTAATTTATATCTTTTCTCAGGAAAAGCAGATAGACTATAAGGAACCCTGTGTATCATTCTGCTAATGTGTTTCAATTCCATTTTAACTCAGAAAGGATTAGGATCTGAATAGGAATCTTCTGGGTTTGTACTCTTGGCCTCTGATAAAATAGCCCCTAAAGAAATCACCTTCCAGGTTTAGTGACAGTTTTATGATGAAAACAAACAGCATATTATGTGCTCAAAGAAAAAAAACACCCTCAATCAACTTTAGGATCACTGCTGCTTGTTCATAAAGAAAATATCTTCTCTTCACAACACCGGGTACCATGTAGCAAAAAAGGTATTATCACATAAATAATACATAATAATTCATAAGTCTTAAAAATGCTAATTGTTCTAACAGCCACTAGAATGAAAACAGGAGATTGTCTAAAAGTGGTCAAAATTGCCCTAACGTTGATTCAAGAAAAACCAGTAAAAAAAGTTTCTGGAAGCTGAGTTGCACCAAAATCCAGCAGTAATAATTCCTACCCAAAGTTTCTCATGTGTAGGTCAAGTGAACACTAATACCTAAATATTCTCCTTACTATCAGTTCAGTGGGCTGTAATTGGGTTATGGCTTCAAAACTTAGAAGTTTTAGCCATAGAGAGTGCTCACGGCTTGTCAGGGAAAGGAATGATTGTTTACTTAATACTAAATATTTTTAAACTGTATTTGTTGTATATATTTCATGTATTATGATTTAAACCAATTCTAAAACAGCCTTTTGATTAACTTGCTGGGTAAATAAAAATCAACTGTACCTCATATCATAGCTGCAAAACTTACACATTTTCCCTATTTTTTCTGAACTTATTCATAGATAAAACTACTTTCTAAAATATACAAGTCCTAGAAGTTTTAGCCTCTTTTTCTATGACCTCAAATCAATTTAATTAAAATGTAGCCAGTCAGACTTCAAACCAGCAAATAAGCTAAGTAATTCAACAGGTTTTAAACATCAGTTAAAAGTCTGCTTTTCAGCAAGCATATTAAAAGAGTATACTATAATTTTTCTGTTGGCTTGGAAACCAACAGAAATATATAAATATGTGCCAATAGAGAACATAATGTTTACTACACAACACTTCCCACATTGCCTTTCAGCCTTCCTGTAATTGTTTGCCTGGCTTAATTACCAGGGGACTTAAAGAACCTTGACCCACTTCTGAAGTGCTCCCAGACTGTCCTGCTCCACAAGCTGCTTTTCCAGCAAGGCACTGCTCATCACCAAGCTTGTCTTTATGACTGTTCTCTGCAAGATGCGCAAAAGCCCTCGACCTTCTGGGTGAAGGTGACTGCAAGTCCTCAGTTCCAACATGGTCACTCAAATGCTCAAACACGGTGTGACAGCAGGGACAAGAACAGGTAGTTAGGTATTCTACCTGTTGATTTTCTATCGGTGGTTGCTGCATGGTCAGAGAGCATTGTTAAGCAATAAAGAGATAAATCACCAAGGCTTAACTGTCCAGCAAAAATTTCTATGGCATATTTTATCCACAGAAGTAAACATTTCTTCTTACAATGATACGTAATTATTAAGCAGCCTTAGACTTTAAGATCCATTGCAGCATCTGAAATTTCTACTCTTATTACAGAAGATAAAAGCACCCAAGTAGTATAGCAATCACCCAGTGACCCACAGTGAGTCAGCAGACATATTAGGAACAGGTCATCTTATGTTTCAGCCACTTACATATTAATTTTCTGGGCACAACTTAAGAACTAAAATCTGAACAGCTATTCTTGAGGTCCAAAGGTACTCATCAGCAACATAGATACCCAACTGCCTGCTCAGAAGAAAGGAAAGGGACAATTCCTAGCAGAAAATTGTAAGAATGGAATAAACATTAGTATGAAACGTATTTGTCTTGCAATGTGTATATGTACAAAGGGCTGGTACGTATGCTGGAGATTCTGAAAGTGCCAATATGGCATACTATCATATATCAATCCATTTCAATCACAACATGCGTAAGTATCTCAAAAAACCAGAATATTTGCCTTATGTTTTTTCTCCTCCTCTGCAAAATACTTACGGGTTACACTTTTTCTTCTTCTCTTCTCCATAAGCCAGGTTCTTGCATCCCTTGATGCAAATTTCCAAGATGTAAGCTCTAAAGATGTATCTTAAGGCAAACTCTATTTCTCCTGTGACATTAGCTTTGCCAAAATTGCCAGATTCTGTGCAAGTGCTGTTAAGACTAAACAAACTCCCCTAAGAAAAAACAAACATTTGGGAAAGTGAGTTTCAGATCAAACAGAACAAAACATTTATTTCCTTTAATAGTCAGTATCTTTATAGACATTACTGTAAAGCTACTGCAAATCACAAAATTTAAGGTAACCTGTTTAAAACATTCCATTGCTTCCATAACAGGCCTGAAAATTATGACTCTAGTTGCAATAACTACTGCTTTGCCCTGTTCTAGGGCAAAGCTCTCTAGGCTAGGAAATTGCTTTGTTAAGTAACTTCTAGATCTAGAAATTGCCTTAGAACAAAACTGCTATGTCGCTTCCCATGAGAAAACTGGGTGTCTGAAAGGGATTGAAAAAAACCTCTGAAATCTAAGAATGTACAAAACATTGAATTAGACTCCTTTTACTACATAGCACACAGTAGAGTACACCACTGACACATTAGTTTCTTTCGTGTATTAAAGGAAACATAAGTGGCCTGCACATTCTGTAAATACTTTACAAGATGCCTCAATTCCACATAAAAATTGCACACTTCGTACTGCAGACCAGTAGGGTTCAGGAAAGATTAAAATAGGAAGACTTCCTGTTGTTGTATTCTGGTGCAAAGAGAAGATGTCTCCTAGTTCACCTTGTTCTCCTTTCAGTCTACTTTCACCTTTGGGGCAAAGGTTTGGATGCTGTCCATCCACATATATAAAAACCACTTGCATCCAGCACTACAGAAGCCATGACAGGGCAAAGAAGGAAGAGACTATAATGCTTTCTGTGGCCCAGCCCAGACATGTAACTTTATGGTGCTATGTAGCCTTCACTGTAACAACGTATCAACTAAAAATAGTTTGGTCTCCATTCATTTATAATGATATTCTTTAAGGTGAGCCCTAGGAATTTTTTACATCGCATTTGTCACGAAGACTCAATTGTTGTTGCGATTAGTCTCACAGAAACATTGCCCTAGATTGCTAAGATATCTGTGTTAGATCACTCCTCCCTCTGAAAATAAACACCAACCCACACAGGACTGGTTAACCAAGGAGTTCTGAATTGCACAACCCAGCAGCTAAGATTGCAGAGTAGTGTTTATAAGATCATATCTCTCTTCCATGTAGATACTTTTCTTCATTTGTGCAGCATGCCAAATACTCAGTTCACACCAACAGATCCATTAGATTAAAGCACCTATCTACTCTATCTTATAAACTCTAAGTAACACACATACATGACTAAAGAAGAGCCAAGTGCTTGCTGAGGAAGTCAAAAGAAGTGTCAGGACTTTTTTGACCTGATGCTTGTTGCATGTAATCTTGCTCCCTCCATAAGATGTTTATCAGTGTAATCAATCTCCTTTGCAGCTTTGTTTTGCTCTGCTCTTTCACTCACTGACATATTTTTATTCACTTGACCAGAAAATTATTATTTTTCACCAAAATCCTTTATGGTAATGGAATACAAAGAGTTTTGTCTTAGCTCATGTCCTAAGAAAAGGTTCTGCGAAAGTCCCTAATATTTATTCCACAGAACACCTTATTTATTTAGAAAGGTTGGATAGGTGTTCTGGACTGAATATCACCACTCCTCTCCTACCTGCTCAGGTGTCACATATATTCAATGTAGAAGTCACCATCCTTTTTGTTCAGCGAACAGGGATTTAGCAATGACTTCATGTATTGTACTTCTGGTGGCATGACTGGAAGCAATGCCATCTGATATTTGGGAAGGTACATTTTTATGGAGTGGCCTTCAACATCCAGCACTTATCCATAAAGAGAAGCTTAATGGAATTTGTCCCCTATTACAAGATAGTAAAAATATTACAGTTTTAAGCCTGAGCCCTTTATAGACCAGTTCAAAGGGTCTATAGCATCAGAAATGTAATCCACAAGTTATTACCCATTTGTCAGCTTAACACCTCAGACTCCACAGTGCAGTAAACTGTCAGAGAGCACCAAGGTCCCTGTGTGTGTTTATACTTCTCTGTAAAGCCAGCAGGCTGGTTTAATTTTGATTCCCTAAATCATTTTACAAGGTCGGTCATGAATTCTTTGGATACTTCACCCTGCTTAACCTTGTCACTAATACATAGAAATTAGCTTCCACAGTTAATCATAGGGGCTTTAAAGCATGTGCTGAATTCATTTATAACCAGCTTCCCTCTCTCTCATCTGCAGTATGCAAAATGCCATCCATCAGAGGATGATTCAATATCATGCCCTAAGCCTATGAACTGCTCCTCTGGCTTCCATCACTGTTTCCTCTTCATTCACTGACATTCTGACATTTGAATTTCCACTGACATTTCCGATACCACAGTTCTTGCAGACTGACAAAACCCTTCTGTTAAATGAAGCTTGAAGAGAAAAAGCTAACTATTAGATTAGAAAGTACTACGTTCATAATCCCAACCTTAATATAAATTGGGAAGAATGTTAGTTGCATTTGCAAAATTCAGAAGTCGCTTTATTAATTATTCATTATTAATTGATGTATCCATCTATCAATTATCCATTATTAATTTGATTTGGCTTATGCTTCAGAAAGTTCACAGTGTTACTATGAGGACCGTGCCAAAGGCAGTCAGTCTTTCGTCAGATACAAACTCAAGTAAAATTCTTCCTTCATTTTGTAATATAATCTAAAATACACCAACATTTTGCACAAGCTTTTATATTTGTTCCCTTTAAGCACCTGTTCTATGTCTTTCATCCTTTAACTTACGTGTTTTCTACCATCACAGAAAACTGTATCACTTGTGGGACTGGTTGTTATGTCTTCTTCCTCCTTGCAACTACTTTTTGTCAGAATTTCACTGTCATTTTGGGCCCCAGTGATGAGCTGTTGCAGACTGGGTGTACTTTTCATCTGTAAGAAATTCAGAAAGTAGTTTTTTTTAAGATAAAGAAAATGTCCTGGTTCCTTCAGGAAAGCTACCGAAAGAAAATGCAGTAAACAGCTACAGTTGACTCTGATTAAGGTCATGCAGGTGGCACACTTTCAAAGATAATGTAGTAACTTAAATGTTGATTTATAACTCTCTCCTTCCAGCAAGTAGTACATTCACTATATTAATAATTTTCTAAAATCAGCATACCACTAGCTAATGTAATGATCACTACCACAGCAATTATTAACAACAGTCTACTAATAATACACCAGAAGTAGTAACATACTAATAAAAGGCCTTATTAGCCCTTAACAAAACAGTAATTTTGGAAGAAAAACAATAATCTTGCCTCCAGGAAATGAAAAATAGTATTTTGCAATATGTATGACACATGCCCATGTTTACCTATGCAAGAATGAATGTACGTTGAAAGGGACTTGAAAATAGAAAAAGACAAGTTCGTATTTAACTTTGTTTATAGAAAAAGGTTAAATTTCCAAGGTGTTCTTGACTTTGCTTTGACTATGTCCATTCACCTTTCCAATTTTTCCATGAAAACTCTGATAATTTGAGAAAAATTGAGATAGATAGATAGATATAGCAAAACTCCTTGAGATTTTTCTTCAGCCACCTCTGTTATGCAGAACAAGAGTTAATAGAAAGAAATGCCAAAAGATTAACACATATGGCTAGAAATATGCTGAAATTAGATTTTAGCTCATTCCGGCACACCACTTTCCCTGGATAATACAATCTATGAAAAACATGTTCACAGCTCAGTGGGTCCAAAAAGAGTGAGGTGAGAAATTTTATATGGTTAGGATATAAAAAAATAATTTCTTTTTCAAATTGTGTAACAGAGGTTACCTGAAAGACTAGAAAGAATACAATCTGACTAAAATCAACAAAAAGAATTGGTACTTTTTTGTATAAAAGAAGCAGGTAATATATACTTAACAAACCTGAGAGCCCCTACTGCACAGTCAGCAGAAAGCACTAAAGAATGAGGACAACAGATGAGATAATATATTGAGATTACTTCTGAAAAAAACAGGATGTGCAAAATCCTAACCATAATGCTGTTATGACACACAGATACTGTGTAATAACTGCCTGACCTTAAGAAGAGATGTAAGAATTATGTTGCCTTGTGAGAGGGAAAGAGACAGAAAATGCATTGAGAATATAGTCTCAAAAACCCCAAACAAAACCAAAATAGTGTATTTCCCAGCACAGAAATTGCCTCCTGCCTTATAAAACCTAAACCACCACAGATTTAATTTGCTGAACACAACAGCCTACTACACACTGAATTTTAGCTTCTACTTGTATCAGGAAGACTTTGGTTGTGTAATACAGACAATAAGTGACTGACAAGGCACCATAGCTACCAGTGCTAAACTTAGCATCAGGTGCACAAGCAAGACTACCCCGTAGCCCAGCTCTAATGTCACAGGAGAGGTATCCCACAGCTACCAATGCACCACAAACAGCTTCCACACGTTGCACATGCTTGCTTGCTCCCCCAGGAAGGCAGGTATAATTGCAGTTCCCTTAATAAACTTAGAGATTCTGATGACAAAAGGCCCTTGAAAACACTATTCAATTAACTTCCCAAATCCAGATTTTACACTGGCTGGTGGTTTTTGCTATTGCATTGGGGTTTTCTCACTAATACTGAGGTTAAATATAATGTCTTTAAACTTTAATCTGGAGGAATCAAGCTCTGAACACATCACAAATTTAGGAAACTTATCTAAGAAACAGATAATGTTCTTGAGACTGAAGTAGTGCCCCAGTTTTATATACTGCACATTCAGCTATTACTTTACAGTCATTCCCAAGAGAAAAATACACACTTTCCAGGGGGGAAAATCCACTGTTTTGATTCAGTCTCTGATAATGAAAAGTTCTCTCTGGTGTGGAAAGCACAACAAGTAAGATTTCTACATCATATTTCATTATAAATGTAATTAGTTGTTTTGCAAAGTGTAATTTAAAATATGTTCTGTCCCATAACTTAAGGTATAGTTCTAGTAGGGATATAAACAGCTACCCTTACTAAAGGAAAACAAAGATGGGAAAGAAAAAAAATAAATTGAAGAATAATAAATAGTGCCATTGACAGAAATTAAAAGTAGTTTTTAAACGCACAGTGACAACACAAAAAGTCATCATATAAGTGTGGGAAGAGAAGAGTAAAATTTCCTTTAACATGAAAAAAACTAAAATGTCAAAAATTATGTTTACAAAAAAATATTAAAATTCTAGCTTAAGGATAGTCTAACTGGTTTAAATGAAACAAAAGGTTCCTGGCTCAGAGAAATAGTGCTCTGGCACACAAACAACATTGAAATCTATCTTTCAAAACCTGCAATGCAAAGTGTGGACATAAATTAAGTCCTAAATCTTTAAAGGGGTGATTAAAACCCCACATAAATAATTTGAAATCTTCTACTAATACATTTCTCAAGCCAAAGAGTCCATATCCATCTTTGACAGATTTTTTGTGATCAGTGTGTGATGTAGCATAGTTGAAATCCACATTATCTCCAACTCCGATGCTTTTCAATGCATTAAAAGAGCAATGCTCTGCCTGTGGAATAAAGTTAACACTGAAATGTGGCTTGCCACAATGAAAGCAGCACTGCAGTAACCAGTAATTGTCGCCAATTCTGTTCGTAATTTAATTTCATACAAAAATACCAGAACTAATTTCACAGAGTTCACAGACCTTGCTGGGCCAATTCAGACTGCCAGTCCGTGCAGTTTGATATCCTGTCTCTTCCATTTAACAGCACCTGACACTTCAGAGAAAAGTGAACAATGTGCACCAAGGGAGTTGTGAGTAATGTGTGCCAGGAGGTCTGGCCCAAAGCAAGAGCTTTTCTCAGCATCTAATTCAGGCACTTAGCAGACCACATTTACCTCATTCAGATGAACAAGGCAATTCAATAAGTACCCACTATGTGGAAAACTGAGTGCGGACAAAGTTCAGTCACTTGAGAGCTGAAAGTATACAAAACAAAATCTTCAGTGTAACTTTAAAGCAGAAGTGTGACATCATCTTCAGCCCTGCACAATTTGTGGGAAAACAGATGACTGGATTTTTCTCAAACTTCTCAAGAAAACACTGAAAGTTAGAGACTGTAACCAAAGCAAAAGGAAAGGGGAAGTTGCACAGCAACTAACAGCAATGTTTTCTCCCTGCCAAGTCAAAAATGCTCAAAGATTGCCAGGATGGTTTTGGGATGGTCATAGCTTGGTCCTGTTCAGCAGCAAAAGGGGCAGGAAGAGGGCAAGACAGAGTACATCCCTGCAGCCCAACAATCACATAGAGCAGACATCAAATCTGCCTCAAGAAGAGGTGTTCAAAGAGCCTGTGAACACCTGAGAGCAAAATGACCCATCCCCTCCCTCTCTATATGAAGGTCTTTGTAAAAATCTCAGTCTAGCATTTCAACTCTGGACTGAAATCAATTGTGTAGACTCTGTCAAAAACCCTGTGGAGAATCAGAGTTCTGATCATGGTCAGTGAACATCAGCTAAGCTCTGTTCATCCAATAAAAGTAAAATTCCACTGTATAAGTCATTGCTCTCACAAATATATTTCATTCATGAAACAGCTCTTACAGTTCGAAACAGTGTATAATAATATGGATACCTTGCTTGTAATGTTGATGGCAGTGTCAGACTGGCTCCTTCTTTGCCACCTTCTTTCCACATTCTTCCCGAAGTCTGTGGTTAGGACACATCTGTCAGTCATATCATTCTGAGACTTTGAGATTTCTGAAGTGAAAATAAAGAGAAAAGTCACTATAACAAACTTTGCAAGCAATCCTGTAGATTTATAGGCTAATTCTGTAGCTTTCAAACTTTTATCCTGCAACTTTAGTGTTGATCTCCTGAGAGTAAGAAACAGATGGGAAGACAAGTGCTTGTCACATTTTATGTAATTATACTTTACCTGCCTAAATCTTTCCTGCTATTTCAATTGGAAATTATACTCTTTGTTGCCTATCATCAGAACTACTGCCATCAAATAGAGTTTCCTTGCAGAAATAGCTACTACAGTCCGTATGTATAGTTTGATTTGTAAAGTGGTTTGGTTTGGTTTGGTTCGGGATAAAAGCAAGATCATTATAACAACATAAAGCAATATGACAATGAAAATCAGAAAGCAGAGCATATTGGAAAATATTTAGAAATTTATCCAATATATGTATGAAAGGAGAGATATCACATACTCTGTTCCCAAACCACATATAATTTTAAGAACATGACTAGCCCTCATTGACTTCAGTAACATTACTCATACAGATAAGCTTAGCCATACTTAAGTACCTTATTGAATTAGCGCTTCAGTAACATCTAGTTTATTGTCAAATAAATCTACAGGACAATTGGACATTTAATGCACCACTTTTCACTTCTTATTCCTCAGTGTACATTCAGAATTTCACTTAAAGGGAAGGGTAGCACTCATCCATGATTTCTGAAGTTGAAAATAGCAGGTTTAGCTGCAGACACTTTGTTGCTAATCCCAGATAGCTATTTCATGTACCACTTAAAAGTTATTAATTCTTCATGAGAGACTATCATATGTTTAATTCATACAGAAGAAATAAATACTTTTCTCACAACATGAACCTCTGTGGAGAAACCTCCCACACAGTACACAATATGACAGTGATGGTATTGAAAAACAATGGGACTCAAGTGTGATTTTTAAAAGACACTCTGGGGTAGTTTTGTTCTTAGCAGCAATCAGTCCTCAGATGTTTACTGTACTCTTTGTACATCATTAAGGAACCATGTGACCTATTCAAATGCAGGCTCAATTAAGCCACCCCCGTAAATGAAACCCGATTTTTAAAATACACAGTGAAATCAGAGATCATAAAAGAGAGTGAGAGTTCTAATGGAATAGATACAATCTGAATATCTTGAGCAGCAGTCAAAGCAGAAACACCAGCTTGCCTTACACTCTCCTAAAATGAACAGGTTACAGAACAGGTTATTGTGAGAAACATGAATGTTCAGTTTTCATATCTATTCCTCCTTTGGCTTCTCTATCCAAACGTCAGCAAAGATGGACACTATCTCTAGAGCCAAGGGTGGCTTTTTACTGCAAATAAAACTACAGCCAGTAACTCACTTTACATTCACCAAATGGCAACCACTGGATTATAATCTCCTGTTGCTGCCAAACCACGCTGGAACAGGAGGTAACAGCGTAAAGAGCAGACTGTACAATGGCCGTTCTGTGCTGCACTCGCTAATCCTTTGTTCCCACTGCTCTCACACACACCCCGGCTCCAGTGATAGAATCAGAGGCATAACGAAGTTCTCCGTGTTTATTTACTTCAGTGCACAGGAGCGGGATGTATTAAATACCTCTGCAAACCAGGACATTTTTATCTAGATAAGATACAGAGTACTAACTTTAGACACATGTGACCAAATGCTTTTATCAGCACAGCACCAGGCTTCACTGGAGGCCATATTGTCTGAAAAAGCTGGTTTCTTAAGAAATCCAATTCTTTCTCTTCGTAAGACTTCCAATGCTTTTTAATTATTGACTTCAGTGATTGCAACAGCCTGTTATTTTCTCACAGATCGAACCGCTCTACCCTAACTGAGGATGGTATCACCTGCATGGGGTTTCTCACACAGCTGAGCCAATTTAACAAGTAGCTGCAGTCTCCCTCTTCAACCACTGCTCTTCCCTCCTCAATCCCTGGCTCCTGACCACATGGTACCCTCCACTGTACATGTTCCAACACATATGTCCTACCTTGAGCCTATTGACTCACTAAACCAGCAGAAAAGTATCTATATGTTTTGTCCAGGTTAATGTTATGCCCTTAAAATTAGCTAAACCAGTTTCCAGAGGGATCCAGAAACACCAGTGCTAATTCAAGTCACGGCAGCATAAGGCTAGAAACAGGGAAAGAAGAAAAAGATGTGAATGGAGGAGGATCTTCCATTTGGTAGTAGTGAACTAATAAATTAGCTTGCTGCAGTCCTGACAGTCTTTACCAGTAACTGTGGGATATGACCAGGCTTCAAACTATCAGAAAGCTGGATAAATTACTTTGCACCCAGTTCAGTGCTGCCTCACCTATCTGCTTCCAGTAATAGTGTCCTATGCTACCCTATATTTTTCTGTGTGGAGCAACAGTCACTGTGTCTCTGCATGGCTTTAATATGTGTTCACGCAGACGCAACACTGAATTTGTATAGTTAAAGGAAAACAGCCCATTAGGGTGGGTAGAAGAAGCTAAAGGAAAGACAAAACAAGAGGTAAGGCAAGAGTTTAGGGGGAAAGGCAGAAAGGCACTAAAGCCAGTTTTATTCAGGTCTGGTCTCACATGTGGGGTTGTGTAAGTTGAAGCCAGTAAGAAAATATTAAGGTTTGTTCAAATACATGCAAATTTGCAAGCCTCTGTAATCTTCCTAAGGCTCAGAAGTGGTTTTCCTCTGGTCATTGATGCCTTTGTTTTTCACACTGCCTGGCTGTCCTTAGTGTAGTTAGTCTTAGAGGTGCACACACAGTCTGCAGCCCAAGGAACAAGCAGCATAAGAGAATGGAAGGAACCAAAAGTATCAGAATGAAAGAGGAGTTGTTGAGACTGGACGGCACCTGGAAATATGCACTGCAAAAAACCCACTCAACTAGACAGACTGAGAAAGAGGAAGGAAGTCCTCATGAAAACTGCCAGTAAACGAAAATATTAAACTCTACTTCCATTAAATAACAGACTCTTTGACAGTCAGTTGTGGTTCAGTCATACAGAAAACATGAAGATCAATACAGCAGAAATTGGTTATTACTCGGTGCTAACATGAGTTAAATACACTGCATCTGAAAACCTGGTAAACTTAAAGATTGTATACTACAGTCTTTTCAATCTTTACAGGAAAGCCATTCTGGGTTGATATAATCAGCAAATTTAAAAACTAGCAGAATACTGAAGGAGAATTAGATTTACTATATTATTTTTCAGGTTGGCATAGCCTTAGCATTAATCATTTCAGCCATTACTCAATATCCTTGTTTTATAACTATTTCTTGGCCAACACTGTGGCCAAAAAATTGAAACATTTGACTTCATTACTATAGAATGACAAACCAGTGAAAGCTACTTACTTTTTATGTGTGTTGTGAGAGACAAAAACAAGTTTTCCACAGATTTATTAAACCTTTTAGACTCTCCAAGTTCCTGCAAATGGGAGATGCCATGAGTAAGAAAACACAATATTTGTCATTTTAAAGTTTCCATGATTATATCAGATGGTAAGGCTGCAGCCCTTTGCTCACTTCTGTAGAAAAATATATCTGAGGACATACATACGCATAGTTGAAAACTGTCAGCTGTTGAAGATGGAAAGTAATCTTTTCAGTTCCATAGTCTTTGACATATAAGTGGAACTCCTTGTAGGAAGATCACAGCAATTTCATAAATACAGCTAATTACATCACCAGTTTGTTGTAATGTGGTTAATACTTTTATCTATTACAGATGTTCCTGTGCCTCTGAATCAAAGTTTAGTCAAACTCCAGGTATGCACATAAGGCTGTTTACAGAACTGCAATGGGCTTAAAAAGCAGACCTGAGGATCCAGTCCAAAATGAACGGAAACAGTGATTCAGTGCAACTTTTATGCGTTCTGAGCCATGTCCTACTATTCTGTCCACCAGAAACTGTAATGCAAAGGCAACCATCAAATTCACTGTTCTTCACTCAATAATGAAAGTGACACATGAAATGGTCATTTTATAAATAACTATTGAATATCTTAGGAACATGGGATCCCTTCAGGTTTGAGGGGAGCTCAGGAGACCCCAGTCCAGTCTTCCAATAGTGAGGCACCAAAAACCATATGCAGTATTCCAGTGTCAGGAAGAGTGGTGGAACACTTCCCTCAAAAACTGAAAACTAATTGAAAACAGCCCTCATAGCCTCTAATCTTTCTCTCCTGGTACCAACACAGCATAAAAATAATGACAAAGAACATAAGGCATCATTTATATGGCAGTGTGATGTTATAGCAGTTGTTGTTTACTACATTTCTGTGGCTGGCCTTTACACATGAATGAAACTCTACAAGGTGAGTGTATATATATGTATATTTTGCGGATACGTACATTTACCATCACATTGATTCCTGCTGTTGATTCTGTGAAAGGAGGTGGAGTTGGAGGTACGACAGAAATTTTACTAGAAATTTAAGAGATTAACAGTTAACAACATTTAATACATTATGCCAATAGATGGATAAATAAACCATGTCCATGCACAGTATCTTTATTATATGGTCTTTCCTGTACTCAAAAAAAATCTGGGTTGACATCCTGTGTCTTTAAGGGTTGCAGCACAGGTTTGTTGCCTGTTCTTAAAAATTAGGTCTACCTTTCTATCTTCTTAATTGTGGGCTGATCTAGGTAAAATTATTGAATTAGAACTACCAGGAAGACCTAATTTAGGACAGACTCCCTAAACTTCTATACAGCTGGCAGTATTACAATCTGTGTTCTGAGTTCTAAAACCCAATTCCTGTATAACACATCCCATTTCTATTTCAGAAATGTTTTCAGAAAATAGTCATCTTTATTTACAATAATGAAAGGATCCTTCCTTGCCTGAGTACAGAGCTTTAGAGGACCTTTACAACATTCCTGCCATTCCATCTATGGTAAATAGTGCTGGTCTGTGAAAAAGAATCTAACTGTTATCTGACTGATTCTGTAATCACAGCACAATCACAGATCTCAAGGCAGCTGGTAAACTTCCTTTTTGATTCTCTTCTAGTTTTACCACATTTACGTAAAAGCAAGCCTGGTTAGGATCTTATCTAGCTGACTATAAGTTTCTGCCTTATGCAGCTATGCCTAGCCAGATAATTATAATAAATTGAGATCATCTCTATATATCTTACTTTAAATGAGATTTTGGAGGGAGGAGGGGGTTTGGTTCATTAGTTTTATTTTTGGTGGTTCTTTTCGTTGTTGTGGTTGGGTATTGTGTTTTAAGGAAAAGGGTTACTTTAATACCATATAGTTTAAGCAGACTGTTCATTATATATCACCGGTAATAACTTAAGTATGGGCATGCTTTAGCCTCTAGTCAAAGTATTTATTCACTCTAAATTAGACTTTTTACTTTTTTAAAGTTTGGTTAGTGGAAATGTCTAATTGAATACAGAGCTTCCTGTCTACTCTTTATTCTAAAACTGTCATATCAGCAATATCTCCCATTGAATCAATAACGATGCTATTATGACAGCTAGTAAATAGTGTTCATCTATGATAATTTAAAAGTATTGTGCAAATTTAACAGATAATGGCATAAACAGTTACACAAAAAATATAAGCACATAAAAATAATGGACGTCCCTTCATTTCAAGGAAGACACTATTACTCTAAACATAGCACTCTGTTGTACTTGAGATCTCTTCTATGGATTGCTGACAGATAAAAGTGACAATTTTTCTACGTTTTTGTCATTTGTACTCCAAAAGTGTTGAATTTTGTTTTTCATAATAAAAAAATACAAACTGTTGGCTAGTTTATAACATAAAATATATCACCTATACAAATTCTCAGTGTCCTAGGACCGTTTGTCCTTTTGAGTATTACCTCAGTTTCTGATAAGATTTCAAGAGCTTTGCACCAACTGTTTCACGTCTGCCTGTGAAGGAGGAAAAAAAATCCAAAGGTCATTTAGCAACAACAGCAGTTACTAATGCCAGTATAACACTTTTTAAAATCAGTGCCTTTCAGGAACTGGCCTGTATTTACAGAAACTCATGCACATATAAGTGAGGAGTGAAATCGATTCCCACCTAATGCATTAGCATACATGCCAAGTAACTCAAGTTTCTCCTGTGTCACAAACTATGGTGATTTCACCTCTCACAGGTGACAAATTCAGACTAACTCTTCCCAAATGCTGAGGACAATCACATACAGATGCTAACAGGCCCATTCCTACAGGTTGCTAAGTGCTCTCAGCCTCCTGATGTCCAGGAGGCAGGTAGTGCACTGGCCCACTGCACTAAAACACACTTCAGCCACAAAACTCAAACACTAAGGAAAGCTTAGAAATGTCTATAAGAGCAGGCACATGGTCATCTCTTGCATCTCATGAAAAATTCCTCTCACTTTTCCTACAAGAGACCTGACCACCCATAAAAATGCTTGACTAGCTCACAAACATGAGCAAAACCCTCTGTTAAGACTATTCCTGCAGGGAAATAACAACCATGTCACATTCCTCAGGTGAGCAGTCACATGGTGTAAAGAACACCAAGGAGCAAGTGCTTCATCAGGCACAAAGAATGAAGACTCATAAAACTCTAGTTTGTTCCCAGGTGATCACAAACACAAAGAATGGCTAAAAGCATGTTACAAATGACCAACTGAAATTATCTGGAGTATCTTTAATTACTAATAATTCCTAGTACAGAAAGCAGCACATAATCCACGTTTGGCTAAAGATGGCATTAACTATAACATTAACTATAACTTGCTTACATAAAAGTAGTAGACCTTGGTGGTGATAGAAATAATAGTAAGCTCATCAATATTACAGCTTTCAATCAAGACTCCATTATTCATGCTCTATTATTAATAAGTAATATTTACTATCTTAGATTTTAAATTTATTAGCCATTAAAGGCAATATACCACTTTAATGAAAATATTGATCTTATTCTTTAGGTAGAAGCTACCAAAAAAATTAATAAAAAGCATACTGATGTCACCCTTTGGGTTATTTTAGTCTGTAACATGAGAAAATTTCACTGTAACATGTATTTTTTTTTTTTCAGTTAAACTTACTTTCCAGTGAATACTTCGGTTACGCTGTATTTTCAAACCAAAAGAGGGCACTGTCTCTCCAGGATTGAAGGATGCACAACGGCTGTTGTGTTTCAGTTTGCCATTTTTTAACCTCTTTAATTATATCAGTTGGTCTAATCAAAGGAACTAAACAAAACATATTTCTCCCTGCAGGTTTAGCTTCTGTATATCTTTAGATCCTTGTGACTTCAACAGTATAACTAAGCAAAATGCTTCAAGCACCCACAAAGCTTTGATAATTCAAAGTGAGAACTCATTTATTTTGCTGGAAAAAGAGACAGTCAGTACCTTCAATAACAGAGAGATTGATAAAATTACCAGGTTTAGACTCACTGAAAAGATCGAGGGGAAATTATTAATAACGGAAATTGGATAAAATTGTGGTTTTAAAGATCAGTCAACTAACACATTAAAATCAGAAATTGTCTTACCTAGAATGGACTACAGTGAAATCTTTCAAATTTGAAATTAATTTTATTAGCAGGAGCTGTAGTTTAGTTTTTTAATATGCTACTTGTTGTCTTTCATGAACACCTACTACCCAAAATTTGACTGATTACCTTCTTACACTTATAAAACTCTTCCTATTCAAGTTTCCCAAGACATATTTAAAGCCCAGTTCCTTCCTTTTCTCCAACTACTCTTAAATCTAGATGTAATGCAGATACTGGAAGTGAAACTCTATCATTTGACTATGTTCAGGCACAAAATAAAACAGCTGCCTATCTGAAGTGCCACTTCAAGGGAAAGAGGAAAGAAATCATCTCCACCAGTTATTGTAGGTGAAACAAAAACTAACACCCCCTTGGCTGACAAAACACATTCCCCACAGAGCGATCCATCCACATCCTCTATAATTTCTTTTAAGGCTTTGTACTTTTGATTGCACTGAAAAGACTGAACACAAGGCAATGGCACAGCTGCCTGAAAGTAACAAAACAGTAAGTGTTTAGCTCTCTGTTGATTTATAGCTATATATGTTTTTCTTTCTCCCATTCCATCATTTCTTTCAGCTTTAGAACTTTCTCAGTGAAAACAACTGAAGTTTTAACTTTGACAAATGATGGATGCAACATCATTTCCTTCCTGAATTTATACTTTAACATTTCTATATTTGTTTTATGTCATTGTATTTCTTAGAAGTCTTACACACTCAATAATTCAAAGTCATATGGCCAGCAATTTTCTTATTACTCAAACAAAATAAGTTATACTATAAAATGCATCCTGCTGGTTTGTGTTCATGTTTTATTTAGTGCACAGACAGATGCACTGAATGGCAATTTTTGACACATCTCTCATCAAATGGAAGAAACATTAAGTACAGTGGCAGACTACATTCTGTGTTTCACTTAGATGATGATTACATATTACATAGCAGCTTATGGTCTATTCCAGTGATTACCTTCACCTGGATATTTCTTTGCTCGTTCCTCAAAGAACCATTCACCAGCCTTTACTTTAACATCTCTGAAAAACAATGAAAAGATATTTGAATCATCATGTTCCCAGGTGCCTTTCTTCAAATATTTGGTAACTAATTAACAATACAAAAAACCTTTTTCAATCCTGCCATAAAACTAAGATTTCTTGACTGCTCAATCCATTGACCAGTTTTGTTGTGTGTCTGAAAAAAACAGAGGGGAGATATCCCTGGAAGGGAGTTGTTTGAGTTTTGAGGTTCTTCTGTTTGTTTTCCTTTCTGCTATGTAGGACTGCCCATGGAAAGTGATACATACTGCTCTAGGCATTGCTCTGAAGCCAGGAGTCCCAGCTCTATTCCAGTCTATACAATCAACTTGCAACACAGCCCAAGCACTTGTGCTGCCTGGCATCCTGACTGCTTACAGCTGCAGCCTACTCTGAGAAGCAGGGAACGTCAGTGGTAGAGGACATGGTTCCAAGCAGAACTTGGGGCAGCTATGAGGGAGCGCTGAGCTGCCTTTTTATAAACTATAACTCTCTTCCAAACTGTAGAAAATTACTTCAAACTAGTACAAATTTGTTTAGTTTAAGACCAGTACCTTGCCTTATATTTCCCACTATCCTAATCTCATTTTTCCACCTTCAGAGAGAGTGAGGTGGTGGATTAATCTTGCGTTGGCATAAAGTAAATTTTCATCCAAATCCTCACCCTTTGTACAGGAATATATATCATCCAGCACAGCTTTTGACTAATTTCCAAAACTATCATTCTTTGCCTACATATTATTTTTTATCAAAAGTGGAAATATTCTAAAATATTTGGTTTAGAAAGATTCTAAGAGATAGAATGGACTATGAAGGAATATCTTGATATAAAAATTGTACCAATATAGTAAAAGAAAGACTGTTTTCTGTGTCCTGCAAAACAAAACTAAGATGATATAGTAACAGAAAATCCTAATAGTGTTTTTTTGCTTTTTAAATTTTTATAAAACATGACTACTTAGTATTTATCAATCCAGGTTCCTCACTCCTGTAGTAAAAGGCAGAAGATAATGATTAGGAAATTATCGAGAAATTGGCTATACTACAAAGCACAGCACTTTCAGCAGCTTGTTAGGATGCACTGGTTCAATACTGAGTCGGGGGAAGGAGTTCTCTCTATGGTTTAGACTGTTGCTATGCTTTGCTGCTATCGTCTTTGCCCCACTACCTCTGGCTTACCTTGAAGATCCATTTTGCTAAACACAGGAAAGGAAATCCTGACTATGTGAAGTATAGCGCAAAGTTCCCACCGACTTCATTGCTACCAGGACTCCAGCCAACATTTTCATTACCCCAGAGGTTTTGTTTCACTAATTGTTTAAGCAACAGATGCAAAAAAACAGTGGGCATCCATTGGATGACCGGTGTAAAACAGCACTTATCCAAACCAGTAAAGTTTCTTACCCATGAGCATAACAAATGGTGCATTTCCAAAGGCAGGGATTCAGGCAGACACGGCATTCAGAGCATACTCGATGACTGCAGCCATTGCATACTGCCCCTCTGTTCATCAACAACCCGAGAGATTTCTGACAGCGAGCACAAGATCTCTCCTGATATTCATGGCTTACATTTTTTGCCCCTTTCCACCGAAGCTGCTGTAGATGCAGTTTCAGTTTCCTAACCCCCCAGGTAAAAAAGAAAGAAAAAAGAAAAATTTTAAAATTTAAATAGACCAAAATCCTCATGAAAGTGAGTTAATACCCTGGTTGTGCAATACCATTACTAGTGGGAGATAGGCCCTCAAGTGTGACCTCAGTTGAGCACTGTCTGAAGGCATCCACACACAGCATTTTTGCAGTGTGACTGTATGTGACCAGAATTGTGCAACTAACAGAGAAATAATTTAGTATAAATGGGGTTCTGATCATGTTAGGTGTTCTCAAAGCAGGGCATTGAGATCATGTATGCAGGTGATTATGCATTGATCTATGAAAACTGAGACTAAATGGTGCTCCCTTTCATTTGATTTTTTTTTTATCATTTTTATTCAAGAATCAGATCTTCTATCAAGTAAAAATACTCATAACAAATGCATCATCTGAAAGCTAAATAAAAAACTACACTGGCCCAAAAGATCAAAACCTCTCCTTTTCATTAACTTTGCTTCCATTACATGTACAAATAATCAAGATCTATATTTTTATCTGTTACCAACACCATCAACAATTGAAAGGGATTTTCTGATCAGTTCAGATTTTCTATATAACCCTTTACTTCCTTTTCACTTAATTGTTTTCATCTAATATGTCCAGTAATACTTACATAACTGTAAGCAAAGTTTAAGTTTCCACATTTAAGACACTAAAAATTTATATCTTATCCACACAAATACCTTGTTTACATGGGAATGCAATGTCACAAAGAAAGGTACAAGCTGCAAGGAAATCTTTGTCCTAGCCATGATATAAAGCAAAAAAAGTACTGGAGAAATATCCTTTATCCTCCCCAACTGAGATACTTGCACAATGTGAAGTTATTTAATAAAATCCTTTTCCTAACAAATGGCACCTATTGACACTAGTAACAACCTCTGAAACAGCATTGTGTGCTTGCCACCTGTTGTGTGTGAGAAGGGACAGTGATGGATTTAGCACAGTGAGCAGGTATCCAATGATAATCTTAACTCCAGTATTGGTACAATTTAAGTTAAATAATCCAGCCAAAGATCTGAGCATGTTCTGTGTTACTTAGGACTATATATGCATACATAGGAACATGACAAGAATGCCATAAGACCTTCATAGAAAAAGTACAGGCAGAAACTGAACTTTCTATGAAGGCTGAAAGTAAAATTAATCCAGTAGGTTATTCACAGAACAGTATTTGCTCATCTTTAATGTAGAGTCAATGGAATGGTAAATTCAAGAGGGTCTGGATAATCCTTGGTTTTCCCAAATAATAAAAAACCATTAGGTAACAAGAAGTTATAAAAAGGAGTACATTTGCAAGGACAAAGTAGAATAATAGTACTTCAGAAAAAAAAAAAGGAACAGAATACAGGAATAGGGGAGGAGCACATACCTTATTCTTTCCTCTTCTGTTTTTCTCACCATCTCATCACGGTACAAGACTTCCAAAACAGCCTCTCGTTCCAATTCCTTAAGGAAGTTCAAATTAAATTCACAGGCCATTTTCTCCAAATTTCACTTGTTCTGTAGACTCCTATCCTATGGGTTCTAGTATATCCAGAACAATGGTCTGTGCTCTTACTCAGTTGGTGATGTGTTTCACTGTGTCGTGCCCTTGAAGAGAAAAATGACTGTGTCTGTCTTCACACAAACCATCACTTAGGTGTCTCTGCAAACCAGGGAATATGAACAGTTATCAAGATCACAGCAATCTTGACTTTTTCATGTCCTTAAACTTTCTGTTCTTTTCTTTTTTTTTTTTTTTCCACTGAAAGTAGTTCCAAAAGAGATGAGAGCTTGCAGCAATGTCCCAGACAGGGCTTTAACTGCCTCCAGATGGAGGGACAATATGTCAAGAAATAGTGTAAAGGAGTGAGAGGACTCGTTTGAGGTTTTTTATTTGGTTTTGTAGATATGGGATTTCTGTATCTAGGAAAAAAATGAAGAATACATGTTATTATCTCTTCTTTCCAAGACATTTAAAATAGTATGTGAAGAACACACTTTGCTACACTCAAACCTTTCATACACTAATTCAGATACAGGAGAGGTTTTAAGACAGTCCTGTTCTTCAAAGAGTCTCACCACAATGTCCATTAACACTCAGGTACATGTCTTTGCATTTTTTGTACAGTTAAAATAAAATAACCAATAAAAAAGTTTAAGTTAGTTCTGACCACAGGCCTGCAGGTCCCGTGACTGAAAAAGTCATAGTCCTTGTGACAAAATTTTTGAGGAAAAAAATGTCCCTTTCTAATCTCATTTTATTGAAAAGACAAAACATCACAAAACTAAGAGGAAAGACATCTCTAAGAGTCATTTTTATCAATTACCTATGTCTTTTAAGTCTAGATAAACAGTTTAATAACAAACAATGCTATTCTCTTTGTTAATACACCAAAACAGTAAAAAGTTATTATTTTCATCTCAGTGCACTAACAATTTTGGCCCCAAACCAAAGAAGTTCATGTACAAGCATATGAGAAGTGTAAAATTAAAACAGAATCCCAACTGTAGTTTGAATGCATTCTGTGATCTTCATTTTTGCAGAACCTCCACCAAAATATAAAACAATTTTAATATACTTCACAGCAAAGCCAAGAGAGAGAATGGTTATTCAATCCAAACCAGCTTGCACACCACATTCATTTTCAGTACTACTGTCTGGCATCTAGTGCCTATTGCAAGAAATGTAAGATAATTCTACTTACGGTACACAAAATGTTAAAGATGTGTACATGAAAGCTGGTTAAGCATTTCAAACTTAATCTGGAGTAAATACACACAGGCTCTAGGAAAAGGGTCTAGATGCTAGGTCAGAAGGGTAAAGCTTTCCCAAGGCAGTTACTGATGTTTCACTGATGGACCTCAGCTGAGAATCTGAACAACCATCTGTACTGCTGACACAATGTTGATTGCATTATTTTAAAATACTGAGTTTAATTTAAAAAAAGAAACAACTGAAAACCTAAACAAACAAACCCTCACCCACTAAAACTTCATATATATATATAGTGACAATGTATTTTTGTCAGTGCAGGTAATTACTTCACATGCAGCTTGCTCCAAATACTTAGTTTATAGTTACCTAATTTCCCACCAAAAAAAGCAGAAGGTGATAACATGTATTTATAAACAGCAAGCATTCCATTCCTGTATGTTGTGTTCTTTTTTTTTTTGTAAAACCCTTCAGACACCAAAAGGAGAAAGCATTTCACAGAAGCAGTGTTAAAGGGGGAAAAAAAAAAAGAGATTGGTTTCCTGTGCAAACAAAAGAGACAGAGATAGGCACAATCATATTTTATTTCCTTACCAACTGCAATTTCACAGGAAATTACTCATTTGAAACACAGAAAGCTTGAGTAATTTTTAACACAATATACGTCACTTTCAAAGGCCCCTACATCCTTCAACTGCTTTCAGGGTACAGAGTTTTCCATATATCAAGACTGTTTTGAGAAATGAGTTTCAGAGGACACACAGAATTTTATTTAGAGATGCACAAAACAAACAAACCAACCATTAGTTTCAGCTATTCAAACTTGCACAGATTTTAACACTGTGATGGAAGGAAGAGCTTAGACCCTCCCCTTATTTCTAATTTGTCTTGCTCAAAGTTATTCTCCCTGGGAGACACAGTTTCTGCCTTAGCCAGGGCAGGATTTTCCAGAAGTGCATTCAATCTCAGCCTCTTGTTGATACTGCAAACATCAAAACCAGCTGATTTAATATGTTACACTCCATACCCTATTCACAGTGATAAATCACAAGCACTGAATCTAACGCCAACAGGGAGCAGGATGGAAAGACTAGAATCATCTTCTGATACTAAACAATGGAACAAATTTACTGCAGAGCAAAGTGCCAGGGCCCTCCATCCTGCAGCATTTGCCCTGTGCAGAGAGGGAAAAAGCCACCATGGCTCTCACCGCTGGGCAAGGTCAGCACACACTGCAGACAAAGCTTAAAATTCATCATGCAGCCAGCAGCTCTAGCAGTATTGCACCTGCACACTTCTACAGTTGTTGGTTTTTTAATCTTCATGAAGATTTCAACTCTGGCAATCATTGTGTTCTGACAATTTTTCTTACACATCCAAAGGTAACTTAAAATCTGACTTTATGATGAGGTAGCTCTCAGAATAAACAAAGTATTATAAAAATATTATAACCCCTGAAATGGGAGATAATTCTTGGCCCCACAACAGACTTGAACTTGTAATCATTCCACAGAAGTGTTCAAATTGGACTGTAAAGCTCTCTACCACTGCAAAAGAAGAGCTTTTCTCTTACACCAAAGCTGTCTGCATTAGATTAGGTTTTTGGCAGTAATAATGAAGTCTCTTCAGCAATGGCCCTCTTTGACAGGAAGAAACAACATTATAAACCTTCACAGATCCCCTCCTTTCTTGTTGACTCGTTGAATCCAATTAGCTAGTTGTTTTACGTGATCAGATAACCTCAAAGCTGAGCGTCTTCTACATAAAACCAAAAATAGCAGCAACCATGACAATTCTTCCTTTTCAGCACAAAGTTCACATTAAAATAATACTTGAGGGGAATATGTTAATTTTGTGTTTATTATTATTACATTTTATTTTAAATTATAGATGGATCAGTAGCTTTTTGAAAATATTATATGCAGTCTCAAAGCCAATATAAGGGAGAAGGAATAACCAACATGGCTATACCTTAGGAGAAGGAGACATGAATGCACTGAGTGTGTGCAATCTCAAAAAAATACACTTTTTTCTTTTATATCAGCCTAAAATAGTATATAGTTATGTAACTGAAGATCAATCAAGAGGTCTATCTAAGACAAGATTAAGTTTGCAAAAGGTAACTTATTTTTTAAGTTTTTAAACTTAGGAATGCCTCACTTATCAAGCCTTTCCTCAAAGCAATTTTACATGTAATGTATTATTGATCTCCTTTCAGATCCTTAAGCATTAGCAAAATAATGACAATTAAATAAGTGTAAATAAACTAATCTTCTAAAGTGACAGTCTTCATTGACTTGAGATAATTGGATTACTTTATCCATTAACCCAGAAAATAGATGTAATACATCAGTAGCTAGGACACAGGTTAAGAAGGTTGGGTAAAAACGATCACAGAAGCCACTGTAATTTTTGGCTATTTTCTATTCATCTGAGGCCAATCTCATAAATTTATTCTTAGTTAAGAAAATTGCAGATGTTATTCTGTACTACCTGGCTGCAACAGTTTAATTTTCACCTCCCTGCATGTGCACATGCAAATTACTTATAAGTCCTTTGATAATGCCTTACCAAAATTATATCTGTGATAACGTCCCACTCCAGAACTTAAAAGTGAAAATAAAAACAAACAACAAAACCCAACACAAACAATTAAGTTCCAGTTGTGGCTTTTCCGTTACACCTTTGCAGTTTGAAAAACATCATGCAAGTAGGTAAAAATGCATCCCTCTGTGCAATATCATACAGAATAGATTAAAACGACGTTCTTACCTCTTCAGCAGCCGCAAAGAAAGACACACAGAAGTAAACTCCTTTTAAAAGATGAGTAGCACTCTTATTGTTTAATTATCTTTTCTTAAAGAAAACTGGTGGCTGTTCTCCACTTCCTTTCCTTCCTTTGGGCACTGATATTACTGACATATATTCAGAGAAGCATCCCTAAAACAGCTAAAAGCAAATGCACTCAACAAAGAGCTCTAATGTTACAAAAGCTTTTGTCAAGTCTCTGGTTTTGTTACCAGCAACAAGCAAGGAGAAGATATTAATTTTTCTAACATTAAAAAGAAACTTAGCACATGAGACTATAAAAGCTGACTGATAAAATGTGCTCAGTCTTCAAGCCATACACAGGAAGAGAAGTGGCTTTGAGTTCTACATAGTTTCTTTTTCTGATACTATAGATGTGAAAATGCTTCTAACCTCAATGGCTCCAGGACTTGCACAGAAAACTTGTAACTTTGTATCATAGGCAGTTCTTTCCTGGAAACAAAAGTGGTTTTCTATTTAGGTCTCTATAAAAAAGCAGTTAGAATAGATAAAAATTCAAAACAATTCATTTTTATGCACCTGCAAAAAGAAGAAAGTTATTTTACCTCACAGCTGGAAATCTGATCTCAGGTAACAATTGAAAGTTAAAATATTATTTGGATTGGATATCCCAATTCAGTGTATTACAGAACTAAGTGTGGGTAATGAAGTTCAAAATTACATCCCAATTATTTCAAAGTCTGGCAAATAAAAGAGGCTATTCTTACAGGATAATCTCCTTTCTTGTTCTTGGTTCTAACAAACTGTATGTACAACACAGAAGCACTCTTAGTGTTTTAGGTATTTTAAGATTCCTTATTTCTAGTTAAAATTAAACAAAGCACAGCAATTCTACTCACATGGCAAAGTTTAAGAGCCTGCATTTTTATTATCTCATGAAGTTAAATAGGTTCAAACATTCCCACCTGTGTTTGTCAAGTTTAATCACCTTCTTCAGCTGTATCATGGAAGGAAAGCAACCGTTAGCGGGGCACAGAACTATGCATATATGCATCATATTTGGTTAATTTGGGCCTTAACTTCAGTAAAAAGTTTAACTGAATGAAAGACCAGAACCAACCTGAGGATTCTAGCTACCCACAGTAACATAATAGTAGCATGCCAAATCCAGGCTGAGGAACATTATCCCTACCACCAGCTTTCCCCTAATGTTTCAACAAAGCCTTAATTGCCACACATGTAACTCACTGTATTTTTCCTTCTCATCCCTGGATGTGGAAAACTGTCACAGTATTTTATACATGCTAAGAATGTAACCAAATTATAGCCTCTTTTGCTTTTGTTCAAACAAGCACCACTTATTCAGCCTTTCCATAGCCCTCACCTTTCTGTCTCTGCTTCCAGCACAAGGCTTGGAGAGGGTCTGAGGGCGTGCTCAGTAGCCAGCCACAGTCCCACAGTATCCCTGCAAGATGGGCAGAGCTGGTGCTGCCTGCAGGCTACCCACAGAGCCCCAAAGTGGGGTGACTGGTCAGGGTCTCCTTTTTCAGGAGGAACAGGAGGCAGGGCCTGACACAGGGTTGGAGACAAGGTCAAAACTGATTAGGGCGGCTGGGGCCCCATCAATGGGGCTGTAGCTCCAACAGCCTTCTTGATACAATGCCCAAAACTGGACACAGTAGTCCTTCTGCAGCCTTACTGTAGAGAGGGCAACAGGAATGCTGCTTCCCACGTCCTGCAGGCTATGTGTCTGTTTAGATGTCCCAGAATGGCTTTTTTTTTTTTCCACAGGACCTTATGACAAATTGAGATAAATTGTACCTAAACAACCCCCTACTCTATTGTCTATGAACGTATACTGAGTGAGCTGACCCTGCCCCGTCTGTAATTGTAGAGCTGGTTGTTCCTTTGCACTCACACCCAGTACGTTATTTCTTCCTTCATCCAGACCATTTCTGCAGTTCATTCTGAGTCTGAACAGCATCTTCCACTGCTTAGAGCAGCTCTAAGAGGCTGGTAGCATCAGTAATTTGGACAATCTGTAAACACTGCACACACATGGAATCCATAAACTGTGACAAGTGTGCCCTTTAGTTTCGTTGTCCTGATTCTTACTCTGTCTGTTAAAAAAATGTGATCTGCTTAGAATTGTAAGAATTCAGATATTCTTCTGTGGTGGGTTGACCTTGGCTGGACATGGTGTCCACCAAAGCTGCTCTGTCACTCTCATCCTCATCTGGGCAGGGGAGAGAAAATATAATGAAAGGCTCATGAGTTGAGATAATGACAGGGAGAGTTTTTCTGTATGTTTGGGCATTTTTTTGCAGTTCCTTGGCATACATGAATTCATTTTTTCTGAAATGAAGGCCTTGTTTTGAAAGTCTGTTTCCAGAAACAAGGTGCAGACCCATCTCCTCTCCCAGGGAAAGAGGAAAGGACATAACAGGGAGGGACCTCTTGCATCAATGAACACAAACGGGAAGCTATCCGTATGAAAAGCACAGCCGTGACAAGCGACCTCCCTGTCTCTCAGCCCCAGCCTTTGGGATGCTTGACAGCGCCACAGCGGTCCCACGGCAGCGCCGAGCGCCATCTCCCCGCCCGGCTCCCGGCCGCTGTTGCTATGGCAACCGCGCCATCTTGGAGGGCGCTGGGTAGGAGCCCGAGCCCTGTCGGGCGCTCGGCGCGCAGGCGCAGTGCGAGCGGCGGGTGACGGGGTGTGCGTCGGTGGCGGCGCGAGCGGCTCCACCGGGAACATGGACGAGTTCCAGTCGGGAGAGGAGGTAACGGGATGGGGGGGGCAGAAGGAGGACAGCTTCCCGCCTGACGCCTTCTTTCAGGAACGGCGGAGGGTCTCAGGCGGTGCCTGCCCGTCCTGGATCCCACCCCTCAGTGTCCTCCGCCGCCATCGCCCCGATCCCTGCCACCTTTCCTCGGGATGGAGCCGCGTGTCCCGGACAGCGGCGGGAGACGGGCCCGGCCTTTGTTCTGCCGCCCCCTCGGGAGCCGGCCCCTTGTCCGGGTGTGCGCTGGGCTCCTGTCCCCGGGCGGCGCCCGCCGCCCTCGCAGAGCTGCCGCTGGGGGGGCTCGGAGGGAAGGCGGGAGGGGAGTCCTGCCTTTCTGGCTTCCCCAGCGGGATGAGGCGATGTGCCGTGGTGGCAGCAGGGCTGCCGGTGCGGCGTAGGTGTAGGGACGCTCGAGCAAGCTGTTTCTGTGCGGAAAGAGCGGTTCAAGCCCATGGTGTGCGTGTTAGAAACGCACCGATGAGGCGTCGTACCCCATTAGCAGGATTCGAAGTGGGATAAATCAAGGGTCTAACTGAGCACCCCGACAGTACTGCTCTTGCAGGAAGACAGTTTTTCTGAGCTGTGACACTGTTACTTAACCGGCGCGTTGTGGCTGTGTTAGACAATGGGGAAGCAGCGAGAGGAGCGAAGGTGTGTCAGGCTTGTGCTGGTCTAAAAGCCTTCTCCTGGTTGCCAGGCTGGGCCAGTCTTAGACATAAATAACATACATACATTAACACACTCAAAAATCATTCTTATAGATGTTTTCGAAAACGTTTTCAATAATTATTAAAGAATAGCATTGCTTTGCAGTTTGCGGTTGTTGCCTCGGAAGCGCGCCTTTTAAACAAGGCGTTTGAAATATCGTGTCTGCTTTCTTTGTGCCATAGAGGTACTGCAGGGAAATTGTAAAGCTTACAAATTTTTTAATACAAAATAGTGTTTATGCCGTCTTATTAAAAGGTGAACTGGTAGTGCTGCATTATTTGGCAACTCAGTTATAACACGTAAATCGCAAAGCTGGATATCAGAAATTTGTTCTCTTTTGTCATCTCAGAAACGGAAGAAGATTGAAAAGTAACAGCAGCTCTAGAAGCATATTCTCAAATCTGTTTATTGTTTCAGTACAAATCAGATATTGAAATACCTTCAAGAAGTTGGGTTGAATTTAAGTCATTTTACTGTGGTGAACTGTGTTTGTGCTCAATATCATGTCTGAGCAGAGTTCTAGACTTTGTGAAGAAAAAAAAAATGTATATGGTTTATCATCTTGCCTGACAGCAGGCTTCATGTCTGCCAGTGTGTCTGGCATGCATATTCTTAACTTATGCTCTTTGGGACAGTGTTTTAATAATTGTAGCTCTTACTTGGTTAAATACACTAGTGCACCTGTAAAATTTAGTACCAGGAAAATAAACGACACATATTAAAATTAAATCAAAGTCAAGAAGCTGAAAATAAAAGCCAAAATAAAGATAAAATAAAAAAATTTGCCACAGCACATAAAAGCTTTTTAAAATGTTGAAGTGTGCAAGCAAGCTGGTGCCTCCGAAGAGCTATAGAAAAGGAATTGCCTGCATGTCTCCTGGGATATGCTGTTTCTTCTGTCATGGAGAATGATCAGCGGCTCACATCTTTCTGAATGTCACATGTCATTGAAGCCAGCTAGGCTGTTCACCTTCTGATCAAAGATTTATGAAAGTAATGCTGAAATTCTCCTGTGTAGGTATAATTGCATCCTGCTTGCATATGTGAGTTTTGCTGTTGTTCATTTTTGTCAGCTGGAGAAGCTGACTGACCTCCCAGTGAAAACCCGGTCAACGTGTGCTTGATTAGGTTCATTTTTACATCCTTAATCAGTCTTCTGAAATTGATTAGTGTGCTTTTATGTGCACGTCTTTGGCCCTGGTTTGAGGTGTGGCTGTGAGGTCCCCCCAGCACTGACAGTGTGGTGTGTGTCTCACCTACACACCACATGGGGTTCCCCATTAGCGCTCCCTGGCCCTGTGAGTAGGTGCCCCAGCAGTGGTGTTGGGTTGTTCAAGCCTCCTGACATGGGGGGCAAAAAGAGATGAGGGACTAAAACAAGAAAACCTACTAACCATACATGTAAATGGGTAGTAGATTTAAGATTAATAAAATGTTGGGGCCTTCTCTCTCCTGATTCCATGTGCTTAATCTTCTCCCCAGAGCCTGAGAGAAGGCTGAAGGTCCAGCGAGCTACATTTCCCCCTTGGTTTCCAAGGGGCAGTTTTGTTCTTATCCTCAGATGAGATTGTTATGACAGTTTTTCCTTCAGCCAAGAATTGATGTTTTGTCGCATGGGTGCCCTGGAGATGTAGGATTCATTTAACTGCAGGCTGTGTCTGCACACTGAGGTTTTCTCTGCGAGCCCACCCTGATATGCAGACATGGATGCTTATTGTGAAAGGAGAATATATATGTACAGAAGTACTATACATGTGATTTTAAAATGCTTCCAAGTTAAAATTTGAAAACTTTCTTGACTTAAAAGGCCAACCAATATTAGTTCATCTCTTACTTTTCATTACTTTGCTAAGAATGTTCACTTGACTGGATTAAAGGAGCCAGAGTACATATGAGCAAATAAAGGAAGACTTGGTATCTGCTGACATAGCAGAAATCTGACAAGCATAAATTAAACTTCCAGTGCATGTTCTTAACAGATCTTGAGCTCTCTAAACAGAAGACTGTGTCAACTGATTATTTAAAATTCTACTTTTTTTGTAGGCTTCCTTTGTTGTCGATGAAGTCAGTAGCATCATTAAAGAGGTAAATTAACATTTTTGTTTTGTTGTTGTGAAACTATAGTATGTTTTATGCTGTGTGCTAAAAGATATTCAGTAAAATCTGATAATGGATATGTAATAAATTTCTAGATAGGTTGCTCTCAAAATATAGGTAACTGTTGATATAATCAATGTAGAGACTTTAAGGAGAAATGATACCCAGCCTTAGCTATGATATGTATCACAAATCCAAAAGATAATTAAAATAATTTCATACATACCTCTCTGGTTGAAGTGCATCCCTATTAGAATTTCTAGGGGGATATTTTATGTTAAGCCCTATAGAAATAGATTTTATGTTTCAGTAAAATACAGGAGTTTTTTGTAGACTGTCTGCATATGCATGTTACTGTGTTCTTTCAAGATGCTTTTCTCCAAAGTGAGATCATCTTTGGAATGACTGAACTATTCTTGTTGCTAAGAAACATGAATATTCTGTCTAGAAAATTTCCAGAGGGATTTGGAATTTCTCTTGTAAACTAGTGCAATCTTTTTCTTGTTGCAAAATAACTCTTGTGGTCAGACTCTGTAAATTGAATACATATGCTTTAATACATGCTCCTGTCTCTTCTAAATTTGAAATAATTGTGGTTATTTTTAAAACAATTTCTGTGATGAAAAATGTGTCAATGAAAAATATGTAGCTTTAACATACTTTTATTTCTATCTTAAAGGGGAAACTATCCTCATAAGTAAAATGGATTATTTGGCTGAAGGCTTGTGCTCTGTTAGTAACCAGCAACTACATGGGTCTTTTGTTTTAATTTGGGGGTTTGTTTCCCAAAAATGATTCTGCTGAAAAATCTGAATTTCATTTCCATAGAAGAATATGTGTGAATGAGCCATTGTCATGTGCATTTTTTCATTCTCTTCAGGGCTGTTTAAATGCCTTCAGACCCTTTTCATAACTGGCTGCAGGACATTATGATAGAAATTACAAATAGTCTGAATGTCACAAAATGACAGAGGATGGAATCTATGACGCCTGGCTCAGATTCCTGGCTCAGACACTGACCTGCAAGTTTATAATAATTAAAAACAGTTCCAACAGCCAGTGTGGACCAGCAGTATTTAGGATTTTTCTGTGGGTATGGGGTCCATGTTGGAATGGGTTCGTGGGTGCCTTGTAGATGAACCCGGTGCAGCTTCTTTATTTGTGTGTCCCCAACAGGCCATAGAGGGTGCGATAGGTGGCAACGCCTACCAGCACAGCAAGGTGAACCAGTGGACAACAGGTGTGGTGGAACAGACACTGAGCCAACTCACAAAGCTGGGAAAGCCCTTCAAGTACATCGGTGAGCTCAGCTTTCTCTTTTCAGTGAAAGCTGGTGCAGTCAAGTGCACTACTGTGGGGGAGAAGATCTTTGGCAAAAACCATGTCTGTACACTGCTCCTAAGCATGCATATGTGTGTGTGTGTATGTGTATGCTTTGCTGAGCAAAAGGTAGCTGAATGTTAATTAATGTTAGTGATAAATTAATAAAAGCTTCTCTACTGTCTAACAGTGACCTGTGTGATTATGCAAAAGAATGGTGCTGGGCTACATACAGCAAGCTCTTGCTTCTGGGACAACTCCAGTGATGGTAAGGAGCGTGACTGTTGGATTTTTCAACTTGCAGCTTTAATGCCAGTCTCTTTAAGACTAGGCAGCATACTTTTCTTTTTTTCTAAGTGCTGTAGCTTTGGAGGAATAGCATACTTTTTGGTATTTTTTCCATTTGGCTGTGATGCTAATTGGGCTATATATGAATAGAATCTCTAAAAACGCTTAGCTGTTGCAAAAACTTCATTTTAAAGATTCTTAAAGTAAACAGTTATAAAGATGTATATAGGGGCATGCATTTAATCACTGTAACTTTCTTCTGTTTCTAAAACTCTTTTTTGTATTTGTAGGAACCTGCACTGTGAGATGGGAGAATAAGACCATGTACTGTATTGTCAGTGCCTTTGGACTTGCAATATAATTGCCTTGAAATGGTTCATCCTTCTCTTTTCTATTCCAGCACTTGATTCCACCTCCACTCAAACTGTGAATACCTGAACAACTTGTTTTTAATGTATTTTTAAAGTAACTTTTCTTCAAAGGTAGAAATACGAGAACATGCTGTTACATGGTTTATGTTTGTACCTAGTATCCTACCAGTGTTTCTATACTTTCTTATCACTTCAAAACTTCTCTTCAAGGTGCTAATACTGAAATCTGCTGCAGTGTAAACACTTTCTCTAGATTTCTTTTTTAAGACCAATATAAATGAGACACTCATTTTCACACTTTGTATTCTTGGTTAGCATTAAATTATTGAAATTCATAACCATTGGTGTGACTCATTTAAACTTTGTTATTGAAAAAAGTTCCAGTTCTTTTAATTCTCTTCAAAGTAGTTGAGGTACATATCAGAATACAAAGCACTTTCATAAATTTGCGAAGTCACTACAAAGTTGCAGGAAAATTAGAGTATCACAAAGTAACTTGACTGCATTTTTGGGACCTATTTAATCTGACTGTATGGTGTTTAGGGCATGGAGCGATAACAGAAATAACTATCTTCACTGAAAAAAGACAGATAAGAAATTTTTCACATTCTAGAAGTGCTCAGTTCCCTGGTTCACTTCTGCAGCCAGTTACATGTGTCAAGTAGGTCTTGAACTTACTTGTTACCATCCATGTTGATTTTGCTGAGAGTGAGTGTGACTGAGTTCTGGTATTTAGTGAAACATGATACTTCCTGAAAGGGGAAGAAATGCCCTGAGGCAAGGTGACTAAATAACATGTGAATAAGTCTCCTGCCTTCTAGAGTAAAGTTGCAGAGGAATAACAAGTAAAACAAGTTTTCAGGCTTGGATAAGGTTTTGTCAGCCAATTAAAGAAATAGGAGCATGCTATGAATTTCAGGAAGCCTCTGTGAACTGCTATGCTACTTCTGTAAGCAGTAGCTCACTGCTAGTGAAGGTGAAAGAATTACAAAGCATGTGTGGGAGAGTATTCTTGGGCTACAGTCAGTTTGAGCCACCTGGATTTGCTTCAGCTTAGGAAGCCCTTTCCAACGTTTTCAGACTCTGGCTCTCACCTAAAGTGGTTTAGAGTGACATGACAGCTGATACAACAGTATGTTTCAATGATCTGGAAAGACGTAATACTGAAAATTCAAATTACAATGGAGGATATAACATATCAGTTTCAAAACATCCCTGTAAACACATCTCCTTCATGGTATCATTATTCTCACGTATGTCCTAGTGAGTGCTGTAGGGCTATATAGAATGTATATACCTCAACCTGAGGAGTATGCACCTACATTTCCATAGCAGAGAGCGCTTAGCGTGGGTTTGACTAGAAACAGAACTCAGTGTCAATATTTGCTTCTTGGTGAAGCCATTCAAACATTTGTCCTTTGTTCATGTTAATAAGAAGAAATCCCTTGATTTTTTTTGCTTTTTGTTGGTTCATGCATGTGTTGAGCTGCAGAAAAAAACCCATTTGAGATGGTTGTCAGTGTAAAGGTTATATGGGAGGCAAACACTGTTGTATTAAAATAGAAGTTGTGCTACAGAAAGGTAGACAGTTTTATGGATAGTTTTATATGTGAGCAATAACCAATACTTCCATTATAACAGTTTTAGGACTACAGAAAGGGGTGTAGAGGTTGTGAGGTTTTTGGGTGGTGTTGTCCCCCTCCCATGAATTAAGATAGGGCTTTTCTGTAAAATTGTATAGCCACTGTTTCAGTTACAGTTTCAGTGTTCTACAGTAACTGATTTTTAAATTTTAAATATCTTCAAACACCTTAGTTTCAATCACTTTTTTCAGAGACTGCTGGCCAACTTATCTCCGTGCCAAAGTAAAGCATTCGTGTAATGAGCTTGCAGAGTCCTTGCTCTAGGTAACTAATTGGCCTTAAGAAAAATTATTACTTACTGTGGACTGGAGTGTTCAGGAAGATACTTATAAAGTCTCTCTCTGGTTCCTGTCTCTCTCTTACTGCTGTGGCTCTTCATATTCCTACACTTATAGAAACTGGGGACATGGCAGCCCTGTTCTGGCGGGGAGGAGGAGGAAGGGGGCAACCATTTACTGTCACTGCCACAAATGAGTATGACCTGTCTTCCACCACTATGTTAACTAAAACCTAAAGGAAATGGCTTCAGGATCAAATGCTGCTAGTAAATGAGCACTACCATAGCTGATACTAAAGCAGGACTAGGTTGCATATCCGTTTTGTGCAGGGAAGTTTGTGGCTGTTTTATTCAGCACACGGTGAGATTTCAGTATCTAAAGAATGGCACCACCCCAAACAGAGAGTGATGTGCTGCTGATCACTTGCAGTCTATCAGCTATGAGCATCCTCTTGGAAGATACAGAGCTGTAAGAAGTTGAAGAACGACATCAGCATCTTCACCATCTCTAAACCTTTTTTTATCGCTGGCACCAATACTCACCAGGGGGATTCTCGCTGCCAGCGTGACCTCAGCAGGTTCTGCAAAGCCACTGTGAAGCCATTTGAAAATGCCAGGTCCCCTTTGTAAACCTGGCTAATGTATTTAGGGAAATTAGCAACCTGTCCTTCCACCTTCCACCTTCAAGTCCAGGCAGGGTAAAATATGAAAAACCCCAACAAACAACAGAAAACATCTGTGCTGACACATCCTCTTGGATCCCATCCTTATGCAATTAACCAAATTTAAATATGCGTAAGAAAATGCATGTAAACTGAAAATATCTCTAAGTCATGAAAATGGTACAGTTCACGAGAAGGAAAGTAAAATTCACTAGAAGAAAAATAAAACCAAAATACAATATAAAGGTATAAAACTTTATTATGAACATATTTAACAATGATTATGCACATGAATTCTTCCAAGAAACTTTAAGTAAAATATTCAGTTTTCCTTCATTTTCCATATTAGCATTAAGTTTTACAACATAAATGGATATTTGCTGTTACCAGTACAACTTCTGGATACACAGAATATTTAACACATCCTCATGCACACTTTCTCAAAGCAGCATTTAATTACAGCTTCTCATTAAACAGAGCATTTATCTTACACATTTTTATACCATTTTGGTACACAATTTTTCCATATTTTCATTTTACATATTTACAAACTTCTAAAAAAAGTTTTACAGTAATGCAAAGGTTATTACTGGCATAAGCAAAAGGAAATAGGTGGGGAAACTATGGATAAAAAGTTGTCATTTGGCTCAGAGACAACAGATCAAAGTCTTTCCTAGCTGGAACCATTCTCCCCAGTATTGGAATGAGAGGTTCAATGCACTAACTGTGTCTCACTGGTGTTAAACCTTAGGCTTCCTCTTCTTTGCCACTTGTAGGAAAGTTTCCAACCAATTCCAATTCCAACATCAACTGTATTTTTAAAGCAAATACTACAGAAAATAGTTGCTATGAATGACTCACACTCGATTGATTCTTAAAAGTCCCTTGTGATCATGGTGTAGGTGAAAGTCTTGCAGTTATTTAATAAATAGCCTCTCCTTAGAGCAGGATCACTGGATGCTGTGGGCCTTTTTGTGTACTTTTCTCGTGTTATACAGTTCCACTCATGATGGAGATAATTACTTTAGCAGTAGTGAAAGGAAAACCTGGCTAGTTTCTTACCCAGATTTCTTCTGTTTCACCCTTAGGTTACAATACTCAGAGGTGAATTTATACCACCTATTTCCAAGCTGTTTTCAATCCATATTGTAGCATTCTTCAAATACCGTCTCTGCTTTCCGATCATGGAAATACAAGGAGTCAAATTGAGATTTCTTGCTACCAAAACTAGTTCTTTAAAACTGCTTCACTGCTTTTGTCATCTTACTGTAAATTGAATTTGATGCGACAGTGCTTCAACCGAGCTTACCATAACACTAGCACTTTCAAAATATAAAGCTAACTGGCATGGCAAACATTGCTTAAATAGAATCTCAAAAAATTAACACGGAAACTATTTTCTCACTATTTTCATAGTGAGAAACTTGCTTTAAGCACAATTTCCCATTCTTCACTTTTCTATTGCCACTTTGAATGTAGTGATGTAGTAAAGTTAATGCAAACAAAACAGCAAGAGAAATGGGCTGAGAACAACTTAGAAAAAAAAAACCTCAAACGTAGATTATAAATACATTCTTTAGTTAATGAAATCCCAAAGCATGACACTATTTCAGAGTTAACTGTAACAACCAGTTCAGACTGTATAAGAAACATTAGTGCACTTTGCACATTGGTCAAATTTTCTCTCTTCAGAACAATTAAACAGTAATTAAACAGAGTGAATTAAACAGTATCAGAGAAAAAATATCTGAATATATAAGTATCACGTAAATATCAGTTTTTGAAGACCTACTTTTCTGTACCCACTGTTACTCTAATGGAACTCAAAAGGATTTGGGGTATGCAAACAATCCAAGTTGGCTCCCAAACCTGACTCTGCAAATTCAAATAGCTGTAGGCCTCAGGAAGAGTAAAAATGAGAATGGGCTCTCTAATTTTAGGATACAGAGCATCTCCCATACTTGTTAAAAAAAGTCTAAAAGGAAGTGCTGGAGGAAGAGCTTACAATAGTTCACTGGAAAGAAAACCACCCATAACTTGAAATACTTCTTGAATGTTTTCCTATATGTTCTTCTGAAGTAAGACCAATTAAGAAATTAAAGGGAAAAACCTCCTCCCCCAGCAGTTTCCTTGCTTTTGCCATACAGCAGTGCTTTGGCTTCTAACAAATAAACGATCCCTGGCGCAGAAAGTTTTAAATTTCAGATACTCTCAAAAATTTCACAGCTCTCCATAATTGTAGAAAGTTCTCTCTCTCTCTCTCACACACACACACACAATGTCTCAGTACACGTCTTTAGCAGAGCACTGATTTAATCTGAACTATTCTATGATAACAAGGATGCAACCACATGAAGCAGTTCCTTTGGTCCCCCCTAACTGAATTGCTGCCCTGTGAAGTCTCCCCTTCATGATCTTGAACCAAAAGGTTATTGCAATGGGAATGGTCTAGAGCAGTTGTTGCACCAAAGCAGAACAAATCTATTTTCTCCCCAATATGATTCAGCAAGTCTAGCAGGACTTCATTGCACTATTCTGCTTTAAATACTTCAGCGATGAGCACAATTTTCTAGTGCAACCCGGCACCATATTCTAATACATGAACAGTGCTTTTGAGAGCCTTCTGTAGCAGCAGGGCAGAGAAATTTTACAGGAGTAAATCTCAGTTACAAATCCATAAGAAAAAGAGATACTTTTAGACAGGCCAAGTATCTGAGAACAAAAGCATTTATAAAAAACAAACAGCACCCACTTAAATAAAGAACTGAACAGTAGTGTAGGAGAAAACCAACTTCTAAATAGAGCAGCAGCATTGTACATGGAATACTTAATTCCCATATAACTTTGTTCCAGCACAGACTGGAATACAAATAATCACAAAATGTGCTAAAAAAGTTCCCCTCAGTACAGGTGGTGACTGTGGTATGACAAAGCAGCTGAACTATGCACAGAACATGCTCACAAGCTAACTCTCAGGCCCATTCAGTACATGAGAACCACAGTTGTTCCTAGGATGTAGATTAACTATTCCCTAATACAACTTAAGGAAAAATTCTGATGTAGAAAAAAAAATCTGTAAAAGTGAAATGTTTGGAAATTTGAAATTGCAATTACTTATGAAACTTTCATACTGTATTCTCTGTAAGTGCAACAGTCTCCTCCAGTATACAAAAAGAGCAAGAAGAAAAGTACAGGCCTCCTTCTGAGATTTGCTGTTGCTGAAATATTTCAGTTTGAAAGGGATGTTCTAAGAAAAAACAATAGACACTTCTGTTGTGGCAGTAAAGGATGTCAGGAAACATACATTATACAAATAATTTTGCACCACTGAGACTATTTTGGCTCACAAGAACTTGACTAGCTTGCGCCTACAAATCCAGTAAACTTATTAAAAAATGGTCTTAAGTCTGTATCACTTATTCAAAGGAAGAAAAGAAAGCCTGTGTTTTCTTGTATTAATGAAAAAAAAAAAAAGACTAGTTCATTCCCTGCCTCCAGCTCAAAAGACTAAGGTAGAAAATTGAAAGGGAAATGAGGAACTTCATACAGCAGTGGACAATATACACAGCAGCTAATGCAAATATAACAGATGAATGGCAGTATGCTGTACATCATCCTAAAAAAAACCAAAACAAAACAAAAACCAACCAAACAAAACCCACCAAAACCAAGCAGCAAGGAAGCAATTCGCAACTCAGTATATAATTCGTGAGACTTTGAAATGGAAATAGACTTAAAGATTTTAGTTCACAGACATCCTGTATCAAGCATTTTATAAGACATATAAAAATTTTGGTTTCTTAAGTTTTCACCCCAACCATTTCAAGCATTCGTTTTCTCAGTTTTAACTCTGTAAACAGAAACAGAAGCAGGATGTCCTTCCCGGGAGTTGGTGTTAAAATGACAGCAGACTGTAAGGAAGCCAAGGAAGATGTCCATCTAGGAAAACTTCAAAATTGGCTTAATTCCAGCTGAACAAGTCTGTCTGCATCAAAATCAATCAATCAATCACTGTCTGATTCCTCTTTATACTTGGCTCTAATAGCTTGGCCGTTTTGAAGTGGCATTTCTTCATAGTCACTCCTGTGAAACAGATACTTGTTGAAACTTCTGAATATGGTGTTCAGATAGGAAGTTGAAAATAAACAGGAAGTTCTAAACTACATTGAGGCATCAAATGTTACTTGGGTAAGAAGCTGGTATCTGGTTTTCTTCCTTGTGGGAGATATGAACAACATATATGAATTTTCTCCAGAGGACAATGTGTAATAAAAGTTATTCCAGTAACTACAAGCCACTTTTCACACAGATTTGTATAGAAGCAAGCTGGCACTATCACTACTCATCTAACTAACCAAAGGCAAGCTAGCCCAGGCAATGGATGAACTTGTTCAGGTTAGTACAGCATTGGTCCCATTCACGGTTCCAGCCACTTCAATGTCTTTGGTAAGAGGTGAAAAATCAAGGGCAGATAACAAGTGTGTTTCAGTGTCCAGCACAGAGCCACCTGACTGGGATGGGTTTCAAGTGCTACTATAATTCTCACATTACATAAACTCACAGAAGTCAAGGAAATTTTGCTAGACTTGGCTATTCTTAATTCAGAAAGTGCTGGACACTTAGGAAGCACCATTCTCCTTCCCTGAAGCATTTACATATGAGATGCCTCTTTGCTAACTCCACTTGAGTCCTGCTGTCCTTCCCAGTGTAAAAAGGAAGCCCTTTCCTTTCACAGCTCTTGCTGCCTTCACTCCATGACCTACCAGCATCATAATACTTTCTTACCTGTTTGTATCAGTGCCATGGCAATCCCTTTTAGAAACCAAAGAAAAGAAAAAACAACATGCATTCTCACTGCATTTCTGTTTCAGAAAAAGGCTATATGTCTGTTCTTTAGGCAGAATACTTTCACTAACAAACCATTCACTTATTTAATGAATATGGAAAAGAACATTACAAAAATAATATACACACCAGAAATAACTCTCCATAGTATTTTATAATCTTACCCATAAATCACATCATCATCGGAATCATTCAGCATAGAAAAAGCAGGATTGTCTTTCAACTGTGATTCTGGAAAATACAAATAAGGGTTAATTTAATGTGTTAAATGTAGAAATGTGACTAGTTCTAACACAACACTGTAGCAACAGACACAACAACTTCCAAGGCAGTCACAATTACAATTCAACAAAACTATATCCAAACAGGAATTCTCTCCTTTAAATTCTCCACCCTTCAGCCACATTGTCATGGTATTAAGAGGGAAGGAAATGACAAATTATCTCAGTTTTAGGTAGATATTCTCCATGTTGTATAAGTTGATTTCCTTCCTTATGCAGCTTCCTATGTCATATTATTTCGATTTCCACATAAGTTAATTCAGAGTTCATTATTCTTTATCAAAAGTTTGTATGTATTTAAAAAGCACAGACTTGTGGTTTTGGTTATTTCTAAGCTACAAATATAGTAGACCAAAACTGGAATCCCTTGACTGTAAGTCAGTGATTATCTAGTTACTTTTCATCCTTGTAAGAGATGAAGGAAGGACTTGTACCTTTATAGTGAAATGAAAAGAAACACATACTTTCCACCAGCTATGATAATTCCCTCTACCTTATTTTAAGGCCTTCATTTCTTGCACAATCTGTGCTGCTTAGCTGCAGTTCATAGTAGAATTCATTTTAGCAATTTGCCATAATATTTTTTTCCTGGCAGCCTTTTACTTTCTACCATCTACAAAGAAATATTTCTTGCAACCCTCATCCAGCCAGTTCTTTTTCCATTCTTAATGGAAAAATAGCATTTTTTGGTAATGGTTCCATCCATCTCAACTCTAAAAATTTAGAGAAAGGACCAGTTCCACTATTTAGTGCCTTCCCCCTGCATGCTCTCAGCATGCAAGGTATGACTGGCCACTAGATAATCTCATCTAGGCTTCCTTTCCCATGAAAGGCTGGACTGCATGATCTTTCCAGGTCCCTTCCAGCCTCAGCTGTTCCATAGTTCTATATCATGAACTCAATGCTTAAAGCAGAGAATGGACTCAGTACAAATATTTATTTTAAAGATCTTTATCTGTTAGAGAGAGAATTGCTTTATAATCATCCTGTAAGACTGTATCCTCTACACAGGAATGCAAAAGCAAAAGTGCTACTGGTTCAATCCTTTATCTCCTTTAACATGGATCCTGTGCAGCCCTCCCCATAGCAAGTTCTCCAAAATTCCTCTCACATTAGAGATCAGCTTCACTCCTACTGTTCCAACAGCATGTTACTGATTTCAGAGTCCAGTTTGCCAGCATGCCAATATATAAACTTCCATTAGAACAAAGTAGAAGTGAAGTAATGTTGTACCTTAAGGGCTGTGTGTGAGTCAGTTCAAAAGTTGGTGCATTACATGCAAACGTCATACTGACTATACACTTGATCTAAGTGCATAAGAATTCAAGCCTAACTCATCAGTTATTACATTTTATGTGTTCCTAATTTGCTCAGGAGCAGTGCAGCTTCTGCTTATGTTAACTCAAAGGAAATTGGAATAGTAACGAGACAATCAAAATATAAAGAGATTGCACAGTATCTGCTAATATGGCAGTTCTTGTCATACAAGTTTGCCAGACAACAGCTTACACTTACCATATAGTGCATTCTTCGAGGGGGAATACACGAAGGCTAATGTGTAGAGATAAAAGTTCAGTAAACCATAAAATGATAAGAATTCTGCTGGTAGTAAGTGTCAAGGATATTGCTCAATATAGTTCCATACACATTAACTTTGGAAACAAGACCCAATCCATACACAAGCTGTTTCAATGGAAAGAACGTTTACCTTACTGATGTTTGAGAGCATGAATGGCTAAACAAAACTGCATGTTTTATTTTCAATGACAACTTCTGTACTCGAGCTATTTCAAGCTAAAGCTCCCACTGAAAACAATGCTCTAACACAAGTAACATTTGCTGAGGTATGGTCTACTCAAGCAGTGGAGTGCATGGTCAGTCAAATGGTTCTGCCTTCGGTGCTAAAAGAAAGCTGAGTAAGTGGGGGTGTTCAGGTGTTTTAAAAGTTTAAAAGTTTCTCCTTGGCACAGTAATTAGGAAGGAAGGAGAAAGGACTATCTGTAGATAGAACTCTGAAGATGGTTTCTTGCCATGCTTTTAGGAAAATACTAAAGGCTTTACATACTGTTTTCTACTACCTCTCAACACATATCTAAGCTTATCAGTAACCAGAGCAGCTGCAGTCACACAGGCAGTTTCAGAAAGTACTGGGATCTCATGGTTCAGGTCAGGAATACAGGTTGTAATCCTTTGTCAACAGACATCAGAAATAGTCTCTCTCAAGTCACTTAAATTCTCTGCTATGACCTGTACCACATGTAGACTTGGACCAATATGCAAACAGTGACTTCTAAACTATTAATTTCTCATATTTTAGTATGCCCCATGCTGACTGATAGGTACACAGAAAACAACTGAGGCAGCAAATGCAGCCATATTTGTCATAATATCTAATTAAAATGACTTCAATATGCACCAGGCATGCATATCTAAGCCTTCATTCCTTTTGAAGAGTATCAAAAGCAGTTGTGATTCATGATGTGAACAAATTAGACTGAGACTGTCTAGCTCATAATCTTTACAAGGAGTCATTACAAAATGCTGACATAAAACCTTGAACAAAACAGACTTAACTGCAAAAGTCCACCTAAAAGTCAAAGGTCTCAGTCTTAGGTACATCATTTTGAAGTACCTTCTGCATGAAAACAGTTTAACATTCCTACTTGAGCAGTATCACAACACAAGGATATAATTCTGATAATGAGTCGACAGCTCAGCAACAAAGTTATCCTGTAGAACCTGTGCTCCAAAGCGTAGGTAGAGTATAACGATGCTGTGGGGAAAAAAAAAATAAAACACATAGGTGCACTCTGTCTTTAAAATGCAAAATTGAAATAGTAGGTTGATAGAAG